GTCAGTCCAGAACAGCTTGAAAATGATTGTCCTTTCAACTTTTAAACCCATAACGATTCATTTTTATTTCTTTTTTTCATTATCATACTTTGTCTTACAATTGAAAATTTGTTTTGTCACTTCAACCCCCACTTTATAATTTTTTTAACTCAGAGGCTCTTCCTGGCAGGAATGCCTACCTTTGCACCTTTTCCAATAAATGAAACCTTTTTTAAAGTCAGTAGTGGTAAAATTTAGGTAGTTGTGTTCTTTTCTTACTTATGTGTGTATTTTATACCTGTAGACACTGAGTAAGAAATACATACGATGTTCAGCTCGCATGATGGTGGTTCAACTTCAGAAGCTCTTACGAATGAAGCTCAACATTCCCAATGAAAAAGAGGTGGGCAAAATTTTTATTGTGAACTAACAGAACTTCATCATCACACAATTCTGTTTAAGCCCTGACCAGAGTCTTGGGTAGGTCACTTCACCCTGCAGGGCCTCTTTCCACCCAGGTTTATAAATGGGTAGTAAAACATTGTTAGCAAAATCTGAAAAAGAGCTGTGAGGTAACCTTTGATTGACTATAATTTTATCCATGATGAGTAACAATAACCCTTGCTTCTTTATGCAACAGAAACCTGGATAAGCTCTGGCAGTCAAGCAAGACTTGGCAGCAGCTGTTATCAGCTTTACAATTTAGTGTTGTATTTTTTAACTCAGAGATGATATGTTTTCATGCTGCAGGTGGAAATTGTGTGTAATGAACATGTGATTCATCCATTCAGAACCATGAAGTTCATTTGGATAAGTGAGTGGTTAGGCAAGGTGACTATGTATTTTTGTATTTTTTTGTCTCTCTATGTGGGTAATGGTCAAGATTATACTCACCTTTTTTTGCAAACATCCAACATTCATCAAATTGATTCATGTTTTCTGGTCACCACATTCCCAAAAAATAGGATAACTCCATTTTCTACACATAAACACACACACAACCCGCAATTTCTCCAATCACTCTGATGAAGGGCTAACCCTCAAAAAGTCAGCTTTGAAACTCTTTAGGGTGGCCAATTTACATTATCAACTCAGTTGATAAAACCAAATTATCTTGTTCTACTTCCCCATGGACACAGCACCACACTTTCTTTAGAAGCTTACCCCCTCTACCTAATATTGTGGTTTGCCACTAATGTGTGCTATTAAAAGGACTTTACAAGATGTCATACTTATTACAAGCAAAACCAACTGGCCTGCCTCCTACAAGTTAGGATTTTAACTGCTTTGTGTTTGTTAGGAAATTTTTTTTTACATTGTTTAATTACACTCACTCAGAATATACCTTGTGGGGGAGCTGTAAAGTTAGATGATTTATTTATTTGTTATAATTAAAAGATTATTCATGAATTTATTTATTTATTTATTATAATTCAAATATGAGTAGGTTAGTTTTGTTTGGATACTAGCAAGATATTTAGTTTCAGTTACCTGAACCCTTTAATTTCTAAAAGAGATTAACATGTAATTTCTCCTTATAATATTCATACATTATTCAGCAAAAAGCTTTTGAGAATACTCTAACGTAACAGGGAGAAGTCATCTCGATCTAAAACCAAATTCACGTTGCAAATTTACAAAGAAATATGTAGCAGTTAGAGATCTTGTGAGTTAAAGGATTAAACCATAGGAAAGAATGTTGATAATATGAACACTGATTTAGGAATCAGATCCTCTTTCGGCCTTTGAATTTCGACCTACTTAACATGTCGTGCCACTGACTACCAAAGGCTATCTTTTTTAAATCAATATATCTCGCAGAAGCTGTCCTTCTTTTTCTATTATTGAATATTGAATCCACTTTTTGTCTTTTTCCCCAGGCACCACCTATGTTATTACATTACCGTGTTCATGATATCTCCTAAGAACTGTCGTACTTTAAACAATTGTGCACAAGATGGCACCTATGCTGAATGGATGATACCTCAATTACGCCAGAGAAGACAACGAAGATGTCAACTTTGTAAGATACGGAAAGCCAGTGCATAAAAAATAATCATAGTAATGACTGGGTTGTTCGCTTACCACGTTTAATCTTCAGTCGTTGTTACGAGTAGGACTGAAGTTGACTGAGAATGGAATTTGCCTAGTGTCCATCCAATGGCTTTAGAAAATTCATGATACAGTCGATTATACTACAAACAACATGAGAGGATCAAAAATTGTGAGGTCAACAAGTCGTCACCAGTACGAGTCATGAACTGCACAGCCCTTTTGTTAGAAAATGATTCTCGAAAATCGACTCTCTGACCGATGAAAAGATGCGTGTACCCCTAGAATTTGTGAAACACTGTCTTTTGCCTCTGCCTTTTTTGGCCTAAATCTTGACTCATGAAACGCGACAGAAGAATGTGGCAGGCACCCAACCGTCTTGACCCCATAATGATACTAAGTTATACAATGTCATGCAGGTGGCGTGGGTTTTCACGAGCTGGGTTTATTGTCACAGTGGTGTTGATATTTCGTAGAGCAGCTCCTTTCTACCAGCTCATTTCACTTCTAGTGTTAAAAGAAATCCGTCGGCGCCGCACAGACTCTGAGAGTGAACTCTCTGTAAAGAGAACTCTGCCACCTTCTTCTTCTTTTCGCCGAATTCATTTACCTTAACGACAGACTAAGCTGGTGAGGAGCAGCTCGCGATAAAACACTCGCTATCAGTGCCAGACCCCTCGCAAACGTGCCATGCCTAAGGCATCACACTTACTTGCGAGCGAAGAAACGCACTTGCAACAGGGCTACAAATGATAGGCCTGCTCTGGGGCTAGTAGGGAGGGACTGATCCCAGACGAACATAACCTGAGACACGTTCAGCAGCAAATAATGTAAATAAAATATTAAACGCACTTGCAACAGGGCTACAAATGATAGGCCTGCTCTGGGGCTAGTAAGGAGGGACTGATCCCAGACGAACATAACCTGAGACACGTTCAGCAGCAAATAATGTAAATAAAATATTAAAGTAAATATTGTGTTTTAGGAAAGTGTGTGAATGGGTTAAGAGGCGTTGGGCTTTTATCCAAACAAGTGGATTAGAGATTATGTTTATGTATAGATAAGAACTAATGAGATAAGAGGTTAAGATGACAAAGATTCATCGCGGCCTCTGTGCATACTCTTATTCTATGAACTTTTCCCTTTGTTGGTATGCCCCGCGTATGTCTACGTTAGTCGCTTGAAAGCGAAAAACAACAACAACAACATCAAATGCAAACAAACAAAGTAGGGGTAAAAAGTAGAGAATCATAGACTTTCCTTCATAATAGTTAGCACTGCTTGTGATTTGTTGGTCAGGACTAGCACTGGGTATCAAACAAATACCCAAAATGTTGTTGATCATTTTAACCGTTTACACCCCAACATTTGTATCCATATTTTTTATACTCTTTTCTCCACATTTCCTTTGGTGCTGACAAGGAGAATTTGTTTAAAAATGAAAGCTTCTTAGGTTGGCGACCATTTCCCTTATTTTCATAGTTGTAATGAATGATTAAGAAGTATGACTGTAAGGAGAAATTAGATCTTGGTCACTCAGGGTTTAAAGAGTCTTAAAGGATTAAGAAGCAATCGAACAAAGCAGTCTATCACAGGAACAGAGTACCGTTATTTATCACGGATAAAGGGCTGAGTTTCTAAAGAAACTGTGGTGCTGCGTAACACAAGATAATTTATTTTTATCGCCTGATGAAGGGCTTACGCTTAAAATGTAAGCTTAGAAACTATTTACGGTGGCAAATTTACATTATCAACTTAGTTATTTATTGTGACCCTTTTTTGGGGGGATGCGAAATATCTGGCCACTGATTAATCACCATCTTAACATTTCTTATACGTTTAACCGTAGCTATAGTAACTGTGTAAGTTGAAAGGGTCGTCAATGACAGGGCAATTTTTTAAAACCGGACTTATAAAGAATTGATCGTCATAGAATAGAAGTATTGAATCTTCATGCTGACGTATTTATTTTTTAGTCACCTTAGCCCTTCAACTCCCACGAGTGACCAAGACAGAATTTCTCCTTACAATATCAATACAATGTCAAGCAGAGAGGTGATGGGAATTAATAAAAATATGATTAGCGGGGAATTATTGGTTGATCTAATGCCAAATTCTCTGAACCAACATCATGAGAATTGTATGGCAGACAGTAAGGAGTATTACTAATGCGATCTGGGAGTGAAAGCGTTAAAAGAATGGGGGAGCCGGCAAAAAAAGAGGACAAAAAAATCCTGAAAAATATGTTTCTTTTTGTCTTATGCAACACGGAACAGTGACTACCGTGTCTAATGTACAATAAATATTTACTTCCATAATTTCAAATGCAATTATTCCTGTCAATTTCCACGGTCGACTCGGGCGTAAGAAGTAACACATTAACACGCAACTTTGTCATGAACGAGTGGGATACAATGAATACACAATGCGTAATACTGTAATAATACGTATGACAAGGTCATGATCATAATTTGAAACTTTCCATTTGGAAAAACTCAGCAATAAAATGTGATCTAAAATCGATAGATTAATTCATCCTTGATTTAGCTGCGCTACGCCTTTTCTGTGGTTTGCCGGTCGAGTAGACTGAGAGCTCTGCTTGCCCGTCAAGCGCTAGCGCCTGTCAATTTACTGTACTCGCTGTCTTGGAACATGTCTTCATTTATAGCTGTTCACACCACTGCTTGTCAGAAGATATTTAGAAGTGACGGTTCGCTCGGAATGGAGGCGTGAAGAAAATTCTCCGTCAGTTTGCGATGCATTGGAACTAAAATAACTTGAGACTTGGTCTATAATGAAGTAAGAGGGGACAGCCCTTAAAGAAAGTAAGCACAATGTATCAATCAAACTGTGCTACAAATGTTTATCAGTCTTCAAATGTAAGTAGCTTAAAGTCACCTCTTCCTTCAAGTAAGGAAGGTTACAGAGATGATATTTGTCCACGCTTTTGATCAGACGACGGATACATAAGAATGGGGTTAGAGGTTTTGGTCAAAGTTAAAGTGGACGTATCATCTGACCAATGACAAAGCGTTCATGGTCATACGTTTGGCAAGTGGCAACGGCTACTAAGGACTAAAAACGGGGTTAAATAACCCGAATGATTCGAGACAGAAGACTGGAGATAGGATCCCCGTTCACCAGGTCCTATTTCCGTATAATGTGCTTAGTGGCATAAGGAAATTAATCCAATGTTTTTGGTTTACTTTGCATTATCACAAACAATCTTAACCAATTGTAACTTTGGTTTTGTGACCTCCCTTATTTACAAGCATTTCTCTTTTCATACCTTAAATCTCCATCTCGTGACACAAATAAACTTAAGCGTGTGGTCCTTGCCAAGAATTTCGTCATTGCAAAGAATATCCACCTGCAATTATTAATAAGTCGTAGTAAATGCGCTTATTGCGGTTTAAACGCGTTTCTCAATCAAAACCAGAGAAAGAGAGGAGCAATTTTTAATACTTGTTAACAAAGAGAAGTAGATGAATGATGACGGCTCGCGTAAATGTACTTCCTCTCCATTGGACCTAGACCTAGAAAAGCTATCTTCAGCAAACCAAAAAAAATTCTAAGATGCTTGGCAAGAGTTATGGCCCATTTTCGACCGGCGTGATCGTCATTGATCATAGGAAACTGTCCTTGTTTTGGAGCGCGCGGGTTCTGATCACGCCCTGCCACGAACTTTTGTTGGAAATTGATGGATGTATCCAAGTTGAAATACTCTTTGCCTAGTAGCTTGACTTCTTCTTGCAATGATAAATCTCTTCAATCGCCACAGATTCCCTTAGATTCCACTTAAAAAGCCCAGCTATTCTAAGACCACGAATAATCATGTATAATCACAGAACAATGGTTTACTCACGTCTTTGTGGTCGTCCAGACTCAACTTCTTCGCGAGAAATTTTTTGAGATGTAACACAGTTGCTTGTGAGGATAGCCGTAGGTACTTGCGAGGTAACGGCTGCAGTGAACGACAATTGTTTTAGGCTCAAGTACCAGGAGTTAAAGCACTAACTAAAAAGTAGCTATAACGTTTATTAGGAGTGACATTTGACAAATTATGAATCATTTGAAAAACAAACACCTACTGCCAGTGACAAATTACACTGCCAACTCCTAAGAGCAACTTCCAAATCGATTTTTGGAATGGCTATTAATCTATTTCAAGTTTACACTACAGACTTCTGACAAATATTTTTCCGAGAACGGATATATATATATATATCCGTTCTCGGAAAAATATTTGTCAGAAGTCTGTAGTGTAAACTTGAGACTGTTCCTCTCATAATATATATATATATGCAGTCACCACAGTTACAGAGCCTCCCTATAAAGATTGGAAACTTCATATGGACGACTCTGCACGTGCATACACGTGCTTTTCTCACACTCGTTCGCTTAGCAGGAGTACCTTGACCAAATCTACACAATTACTGCACAATCATGAAAGATAATGAGCTGGTAAAAGTATGGAACTCAGAAGATAAGGTTCTAAACAATACCTTCAGGGAATATTTTCCGTTTGCTCTGTAACGAAAACAAGAGAAAGTTGAATTAGAGAATTTTCAACGACTAGATGAGTTTAGTATGAGCTTACTTCATCCTAAACTAGCTCGGTTCAGCCGAAGCTCTGATGTTCTTGAACACGCATATACTCGCATTCCAAGTTAGAACGCTGGATTCAGCTGAATCAGCCGCGTTCGTGAACATGCATGAACCACACTTGACGAAACTAATAACTGATGAAGCTTGTTTTATGCCTGTATTGGGTGTCGTTAAAACCTCTCCCAAAACCCAGACTAATCACAACGGTCAATCATGACAAAGATAAATATTCTAAGGAACCAATGAGAACTCAAACTAAGAACAAGCGAATTGCCATTGGTAGAGAGAGAGAGAGACAAAAGTTTTAACCACCAATAACAACGCGAGGAAAGTCAAACTGATCCCTGAATCTCGGATTAACCCTTTAACTCCCAAGATCTCTTTAGTAATTCTCCTTACTGTCTGCCATACAGTTCTTGTGATGTTAGCTTGCAGAATTTGGTATTAGATCACCTTATAATCCCCTAACTGATATTTTTCTTTATTCTCATTACTTGTTTGCTTGATATTGTAATGATATTGTAAGGAGAAATTCTGTCTTGGTCACTTATGGGAGTTAAAGGATTAACTGAGCTCTGTTCAGTGATAACTTCTGATCTAAAAGAGAAGTGGTTGTACTTCAATGAAAAGTTACGGAAGATAAAAAAAATAATGAGCTCGTAGTTAGTCCTTTAAAAACCGTTAGACGGATCTCATTTTTCAGTACCTGTAACATTCCATGCATATAGCTACTTGTTCATCCCCACGGTGGTAATCCTGATTTTCTTCTTTCTCGTTTGATGTACAAGATGACGATGGAGATGGATTGTCAGCTATTAAAAAAAATATTGAAACATTATGATGCTTTTATTGACCGAGCAGGAGGGTCAGACGGGGAAATATTTGACTCGAGGTCATGGCGTACGGACTGAGCGCAATGTGTTACCGAAAGCCAAATATTTTCCCGTCCAACCCGACCTAACTCAGTCAATAGGTATTTGATCAATTGACCGCTCTTTCACTTTCTTCTTCTGTTTTCCATGCCTTTTACATCCCGTGGGGCGTTTCTCAAGGCTGTGCGGCTTTTCACAGCCCGCCTGCGCCATCGTATACGTCCCTCGCAAGAAAATTTTTTTAATCTATTAAGACAAAAGCGTGCATGGTCACAAGGGTCATGTGGTAAAAGAAAACTGTCACTGATTTTTCCCGTAGTGAACTTTGATCTTACTCTCACTCAGCATCAAAACGAATATCTAGAAAGTACAACAACGTGTTCCGTGCAATTCGTTGAGTTTGACGTTTAATAAAGTTATACCTCGAAACGAACATGACCAGTTTGAGCTCTTTGGATGTTGCAGCGTAGCGCTTTCAGATTAAGCTCTGTGATGAAACAAAAACCGTTCGATAATCGTTTCACGCACGTACGTTTACATTAGGAACTTGGTTGCTGCAGTTGTATCCAAGTTTCCCCATTTAATTCTGTGACAACCGCTTTCCTTAAGATAGGAACACAGGCGTAGCAAAAAAAAAAAAAAAAAACCGACTGAATATGGAATGTAGCACAGACGAAGTCAAAGGCGTAATAAGTGCAAAAATCCGTCTCGTTAACTCACCGTGTGTTTTAGTTAAATTCATGGCGTTGTATTCGTTTTGTTGTTCGCCCGTGCGGTACATAAACATGGCCACTTCAAATTCTTTCTGCCTTTGGAGCTCTCCTAACAAGTTAAAATTAATTTACATGAGTGACAAAATTTAGCCTTCAGAAATTCATCTCCTATTGAAAAAAAATGTTTAGAATCGTTTTCATTTATCAAAACCAAAAATGATTCGACTTGAAGAGTGAGGGATGGGTGCAACTCTAACCTGCCAAAAAATGGGAATCGAAAATAAGGCTTATAACCACTCGGTGGAGATTTAAGCGTCTCGACGATTTTTGTAGGAGACGCTCTGAAAAAAAAAATCATTTTGAACCTCGCTAGGAGTTTTAAAACGGAAAGGCATTTCCAAACATTCCGACGGGTGCACTCATTTCGCCCTTCTCGTGAGTGAGGCAAGAAAACTTAAATTGTCGGTGAGATTTCGGGTTAAATTTTCGAAATCTTCAAATTTGATTTTCAGACTTTTGTAAGTCTGTATGGTTCTGCAATATCATAACTAGCGCGTGTTTGAGGCTTTGAGAGGAGAAACGGTCAAGTTGAAAAGGAAAGGTCCAAATGATCCCCTGATTTATTTTAGGGACTTCTTTTTTTTAAATTCTGATTTTAGGAAATGCTTAACTCAAGTATTCGTAGATTAAAATCTAAACCACAGAGATTATCCCTAAAATAAATGCTAGCTCTTAGCTTTCTCACAACATCAAGTGCCATACCACGCAATCCACAAATTCGATCGAGAAATTTTGAGTGAAAAAAAAAAAATGTATTTACCGCGTTTCGACCGACGTGGACGATTTCACAGACGGTCTTCTGAAGTTGATAACTGTTTAGTATCAGACTTGGCACATCATCACCTCAAGTGCAACAGATAAGAATGAAAGAAATAAAGACCGGAAAAAGCGGCTTCTGAAAAGAAGCTGACCGCAAAGGCACAAAGTCTTTCGTTTTTTTATTGAAAACAATAGGGCTTGGTTATCCACCTTCATTCCTAATATGTTGCGATTATTTCTTTTTGAACGCATGATTGATTGGAATAGAACCGAACGACACAGGAGAACGAGTTGTCCGTGGCACGACTGATTCCGGCCGGCACTTGCCTTCGTGTCGTGTTATTATCAACCCGAAAGAATCTTTCATCACTAATAGGTAGCAGTTTGATAAGTTTAAACGCCCGAGGCGATAATCAAAATATTTATCTTTCTGAAAGGTAAATTCTGGAATTGAAAAGACAGACAAGCCTTAAAATCACGTACGACTGTCCACTAACACTTTGCGCTCCAGACTAGGCAAAGTAGTTTAAAAAAGGTTAGATGCGATCTCCTTCCGTAAAATTGAGGAAACACAGAGTCACGATGCCAGGTTGCAGAATGGTTGGTCGAATAGGAGTGGCAAGAAGCGAAACACAATCATCTTTAACTTAAAAAATGAAAGTGATTGGTTCGTCTAAAGTTCCTCTTAAGTTCACTATTGACATATCAAGTGGTAGCACTGATAAGTTATGCAAATACGTCTAAAGAAAACTGGAACGGAACTGCAATTAGCTTTAATGCCCCTTGACTGGGCTTTTTTTTAAATGGTGTTTGGGCTGAGCAGTATTCATTGACATTTTTTAAAAGCATTAAGGCTTGATATAAATGCATCCCCGGAAAAAGGTTTCAAATTGTCTAAACATGATAGCCTTTGTGCTCTATCATTCGTAATATAAATAGGTAAAAGCATATAAACACTTACGTTCTTGAAGGCCTGGTACAAGCTTGTACACAATTTCCTGCATTGTACGATCGGCGCTGCAAATATTAAAAATTTTCCTTTCATTTTCGATCTTGTGTAGGAAAAAAAATTAGGAGAAAACTTTTATCAGAAAATGTGACGTTTCATCTGTTGCTGATTCACAGTTATCTCAATCAGTGAAAAGCTTACACCGTACTTGTATTTCCAGACGTTGAGGCAACTCACTTGAAGAAATTAATTTGTTCAAGTGTCGTAATACTCATTTCCATAGAAAGTCGTATATTTTTAATGTGTTTCCTTTTTAATTTTCGGAAAGCTTTGATGCATACGTGGCAGAATTTACAAGAAACAACTATCGATTCCACCAGAGCTAAAAACGTCAAGGCTGATATTTCAGCACCAAGCGGATTGTTTCTCAAGCGAACAAGATACAGGACAATACGAGAACTTAAAATTTGAAAATAAAATGAAAGATACTCATGTTTAGCCCGCGGAACGAGATAACATTAATTCAACTAACACAGCAGCGGAGTGTACACGCGAGTTCAAGCGTAAATACTTCTTGTTTCGCACATGGTTGCTAGGTATTTTTCAGAACACATTATATTAACTGTGCTGATGAAATGAGTGTTGAGACACTGAGAAACCAAAGTAAAGCTAAAATTACTCTACTACAACAGAGGCAAAAGAATACACTTGACAAGACAAAAAAAATCATTATCATGTCATCAGGGACAATTCCATACTAAATTACTTGAAAATTCATTTACAATTATGGAATCGGTAAATGAAATGACTCGATCACGCATAGAATTTATTATTGAATTAGTCTCGTTGGAAGTTTCTTGTTGAAAAAAAATAAATCCGTCAAGCAGAATTGATCGTGCGGCAAATATAAATTCAGACGAAGGATATACTCAATCCAAGAAAGATTTGAGGAAGTTAATTAATTTTTGTCTGCAATGAATGTTGCATGTAATTTTGAGTTACTCGAGAAGCCCTTACCAGTAGAAGCACGAAAAGGGTCTAAGCTTTTCGAGATTTTTACATCAATTCATCATTTTGCTTACCTGATATAGTTCATGGGGTAGCTTTGATGAATCACAATTTTGCAGGATGGACAAAAGTTTTCATCTTGTAAATGCTTTACGATGCAGCTTCTACAAACTGAAAACGATACAAAAACATAACCAATAAACACGACTCGGCTAAAATATAAACACAACAAATTTACAGTGAGGCGAGGGTAGAATTTAAATCTGATATCGGTCTCTTGTGGTGAGCACGGTAAAGATGCACTCTGTTCCAAGAGTGGGTAAGTATTAAAGTCCTCGTTAAAGAGGTCGCAGCAAACATAATTTAAATAAAGGTCCATTGTTTATTTTACCGCATCCTGAGTATACGAAGCGAAGCTTTTACACTGCTAATGATCTACTGAAATCTTCCACATAGTACGACCCACAACTGACTGAATTCTATAGACGGTGTCTCAGAGCTTCACCAACGCCTCGTTAAGGGGTGACATTTTACAGTGTAGCTTTTAACTTCAATCATATGACCTGCCCGAGAACACACAAATTTGAATGAGTACATCTGTTCTACGGCTGGCCCCGACAGGCGCTATAATCACGTCATCTGTTCGGGTAGATTGGTTTAGACAGTTGTTGGCACAGCCAAACGCAAGAACGTTTGACGCACCACTAAATTGAATCCAGTCCACAATATTATAGATTACCTTTCAAACAAAGAGAATCTAAACCATCACCACGAGTATACAATAAATTAACTACGACAAATGCCAAATTCACCGCGCAAGCGATGTGATATTAGGAAACAATAATCCCTGTGCTAATAGGCATTGCGATCGCAACCATCTAGACTGCGGTACACTAGCGTTATAATCTCAGTCGAATCGTTTTGTTTCTGAGCAGCGAATCTTTGCTGTTCAGTTATAAGGCAAGCATATTTTGGGTTGATTTAAACATGGTATATTGCCTTCAAAAGCTTTTGTGTAGAAATCAAAAGCATTTAAACGCTAAACACGAACTTCACATGGTTTTACCGCCACGCTTCACGACCGATCTCGGTATGACCGCAGCTTTCTTTTGCTCGAAGCCATAGATCTACCTTCACTCCCTCCCTCGTTGCCGTCTGGTTGAAGTTTAAACAACCAAGAAGGTATAAACAACATAACTAAAGGACGTGACTCGATTTAAAAGGACAAGAAAATCACAAGTTGAGATCATGATATACTTACACGTGTGAAGGCACTCTGTGATGGTCGTAGCGTCGATTAGATACCCTCTACAAATGCCGCAAGTAATGAAAGGATTTAGCTCTCTTAGCTTCACTGACTGATACATTTTGAAGCGATTAGAAGAGCAGTGGAAGCTAAAACGCTTCGGGCTTTCTAAATCTTGTCGTGGTAACACACTCGGTCGGTTATGCGAAACCACCAAGACTCACGAACGGCCCACTCTTTGCTCAATTTCGGCGAGATAATAGTGTTAATGAAGACTGATGTGGCAAATTTCTGTCAACACCTTAACTTCGGTCAAGATTTTTCAAAAACCCTTCCGTTGAGCCTCACAACAACGGCCAGAGAGTCGCAGAACGTGACCAAAGCTCGGCGCAAGAGTTTCGAACGATACAATTAGACCACACGTACAAACAGAGCAATAAGCCTCAGGGCAGATTTGTTGTGAGCGGTGGGCGGTCAACATAAAAATTATCCGATCATCAACAATATTCCCGAACAAAGAGAGCAAGCAAGTCTCTGGGGACCTTCACTTCACGTTGATCTCTTGAAACGAAAAGCGACTTTTCCACGTTTTTGTGAACGTGGTCCGCAGCACGAAGAAAATTGCTTTTAGAGCCGCCAATACACACGATCGACAATTTCCCTTGGCTCTTCCTGTCGGATCAAACCTTCGTTTAAAGTGTGAAAAGAACCAAGGAAGCTGCGAGAGACTTGTGGTCTCTTATCTCCAAGGCAAGAATCCTAGGCCTCTCAATAATGAACCAGTTTTCAATGGAAGACAAACAATGATAATATCTTTAGTGTTACTGAATATGAATACCGCTGTGGCTGGTGGCTGGACGTAGAAATACCTAGCCAATCTTGAATAGGCCTATTTAGTCACGTTTCTCTTCTCGAGATGCGCGTTTGGCTGAAGTGTTTTTATGAGGCCCACGAGAATGTTCCCAGATACCGGAAACAGAGGATAGATGGCCTGTCAAAATTACTTCAATTGGCATGCATCAAATATCACAAGCTGACTGAAAGGATCGTAACACAACAGTACCAAAATGTGAAAGTACACTGCTACTGAGTACGAGCCTGCGAAAGTAAATGAATCTTATCACCTGTGCCCCAACATTCAAGCATAGAAATAAAAGCCTCATGGATCAATAAGGATGTAAACTTTATAATTCCTTCCCGGAGTGAAATGCGACACTGGTTGGTATAGTGATCGATCCTATTCTGAACGATGTGGACGTAACTCTAAAAGTTATTCCGCCATGATCTTATCTGCAGTGACTGTGGAATGTAAAATAAAGGAAACGAATTAGTTGTCTTCCGGTTGACAAGTACCAAGTAAATCTAAGTAAATCTGTCAATTTCAAGCTAGTTAATTACTTTAAATAGCACTAATTTTCCCAACATTCTGGAGCTCCACACATCTAACGTTTATTCCTCACGTGATATAGCCTTTTGGAAAGAAGGACCATCAAACATGAAAAGAAACCGACAATACAGAATGCTTCCGTTTTTTGAGTGATTTTCCTATCCAAAGCTCTTTACCCAATATAAGTTAAGTGCGTAACGTACTGAAGGTTTTACGATGCATTTAGCCGTCGCTAAGAAATAGCAAACTTCAACAAACACATTGACATTTTCCGATTTGGTATTGCGACCTTCTTCGGATTAATTTGCACCGCCGACATTTGTAATTAAATTCTGTTTACAACTTTGCCCTGAAACGTCAGTTAGGTTCACTCAGATTATATCTCCATTATTATGTTTCGACTTTGCTTAATATATGACACACAATCGAAAACACACATGTTACCAGAAGTATCTATGTAAAGCTGTTCAGCAGGTAGTTGTCTGTGGGTTGACAATGAAACTTGAAGAAACTGACTTTACTAGGACAGCGCTCGGACGCAGAGAACTTTATTCGTCGTGTTCACTTGTCTACTATTTTCATATTAAATATACTGGAATTTCTGCTTAATTGAGAGGCAATCAAATAAAACAGTGTCACAAATATCTGTCTAATACTAACAAGATATATACTGTGTATGTTTTCGGGTTATCGGTTGATGATCTCAAAACGAGCAATAAAAAGAGTCGTAAATTATTGGTAGACGTAACAATATCACGATGATAAATTAATCTTAAAAAAAGAACTTCTGTAGATATAACAATATGCAGGTTTATGATGTTAATTCCTGTTCAATCAAAAAGCTCACGGTATAATCAGAGACTTGTAGCTGTTTACTAGGATGCATGTTGACCTAATCGTTAGCGATTTTTCAATTGAAAGAGGGTATTTTATAAAATATGGTCTTTAAATGAAAATCTAAAGGATGGATGTTTGTTGCAAAGTAAACTGTGGGCCCTCATACACTCTTCAACTGTTCCGATTACTATAGAGTACCATGGATTCGAATTTCAAATTTAGTGCATTGTTCGGTCAACATGACCCTTTAAATCCTAAGATCTGATTGTTAACCCTTTAACTCCCATGAGTGACCAAGATGCAATTTCTCCCTACAATATCAACACAATATCAGACGGATAAGTGATGAGAATAAAGCAAAATATCATTTTGGAGATAATTAGTTGATCCAATACTAAATTCTCTGCACTGACATCATAACAATCGTATGGTTGACAGTAAGTAGAATGACAAATTTGATCTGGGATTCAAAGGGTTAATTCTCCCCTCTAGCTGGTAAGCGTTAGTTGCGAGTTAGTTAGATGGATCAAGAGAATGGTCAATGAGAGTCCTCTACTAATCATCTTTGCTTTACAACCATAGGTGGTTGAATTTTTCCTTTTTTTGTTCTAAATTCATCAAACACCTGATTATTTAGTCTCACCAATCTATTAACCCAACTGACCGATGTGGATGCCTTTTATGTCTAGTTCTTTATGAAGACCCCAGACGAATGGACAAAAAAATTGAGGAATCTGTTCTATTCGCAGACGCTGTGTGCGACACAAAGCTAACTACAGTAACTGGTTTACTTTCGGCGAACTAATGGGAATTATTGGATTAAATTTTTATGTCAATCCTCTACTGTCGGCAACTTGCCTAAAAGATACAAAAGATTCGGCAACGTTTCGCATGAGAAATTGTGATTGCTTGCGGTATATCTAGATCACTGTTTACTCTGTGGGTATTCAGCTCTGCTGGCGCTGTCTAAATAAGAACCTCTTTCTGTGACTATGAGTTGCTAAAACTGGCTCCAAAGAGAGATAGTTCTCTCAAAGGGAAAGGTTGTCAAATACTCTGTAGAATAAGCACTGATTCTGTTCATAACTACTTGCCAAGTTTAATGCGATCGGTGTCATATGTGTTCTAACTGAATCTAGTAGCTCTTAGCAATTAGCTAACGAATTGGATTATAAAATATCTCAACAAAGTGTACAGCCTGATGATATCGCTGGAATCAGTGTTATGGTCTCGGAGATTATGGTGCTTCGGGAAACCAATAAACCTTTTGACACACCCTTTCCCTCTTCATATAGATCAACAGGCAGGGTAAGGTTGTTTTTATCTCACAATGACTGCCTTGTTTCAACTGAACGCCTTTAAATCCTGCTCTTAACTCTCAAGAAGACTAAAATAACAATCCGTTTAAAGAGAAATTGGATGAAGCAACAAGACACCTTACAAAAAGTCAATAATTTCTCAATCAATGTTCAACAAGAGCAGAAATTGGTTTTAATGGAACTGTCGGCTCATTATTCATTGGCAGTTTTCGGCGTCTAAACACATGTGTTTACGAGAGTTATTACACAAATTGCGTGGACGTTTCCACGTGCGTAGCCAGACAAAAAGTCTGTCGTGGTTGACGTCTAAAGTTAATCCATGAATTAACGTGAAAGACATTTGCCCGACGTTTGCGAACTTATAGGTGTTTAATTACGCGGTTCATTGAGCGAACTAAGTAAAGCAGTGCGTGGGCAGCAACAGACAGCCTTAAAAAAACCGATGCATATGGAAATTGCACTTGTCACTTGTAGTATTGTATTTGACTAAGGTAAGCAAACACATTTGAAAAAAGTGTTTACTCTTTAAATCAGGCATGGAAGGAAATAAATAAAACATACTTAGGTGATTTACTTTGGCGTTTTTATGCCAGTTTTAGCAAAGGATGTGTGACCTCTGAAGTAGATTGTCACAGGCTTGACTTATTGAGACTCGAGAGATTAGAATACTGCATTATAGCCGCTAATCTGTCTTGATCTCAAAATAAAGGAAACGTTGCAATTATCTCTTTTATTACTCCCTCAGGCGAATAATTTTTTCAGGGCTGCTGGTGATATTAGAATTATTCGAGTTGTTTCGCAGTTTTTCCAATTTGGTCTCCATATCATTTACCTAGCTTGACGCATTTTTTTTTTCCATCATATGTGTGAAGTGATTATCATCAGAAAGCACTCTTTGTAAGCAGTGGTTCACCTACAGCTTGGCTAACGATGACCTATGATAAGTCGTTCACAGCTCAGTGAAATTTACTTTTGTTTTGGTGGTTCCAGAGAGTCCTAACTAAATTCACCTTTGAGATTCTCGTATAAATGAATTTTATGGTAATTTTTTCCAAACCAGCTTATCACGGTCGTCCAAAACCTCGCGTGTCCACCTGTTAGTCTGTATTGTTTCAATCCATCATAGTACCAAAAACACTGTGACCCTAAGCTCAGGAAGATAGATACCCGCATAAGTCTTGTGGATAATTTCTATAGAAAAAGGAGCGCCATGCATGGTTATTAATATGAATAAACCACTTGCTTTTCATTTTTCAGTCCTCCGTGAATTATTCCGACATTACTGTTTAAGCCAATTTGCTGAGGTGTACATGTATGGCGAGACTTTTGTTAGGAAGAATTAATCGTTCGTCGCACATTTTAACTTTAAATTGCGCGCTTTTGTAAGTTGATCTTAGTTACCTTACGTCCTCAAACGAACAGTGTCTACCAAAATCATCAGATCCCCATTTTGTAGAGCGTTCTCGGGAAAGCTCTGATAACGCAGTTGAATCACTGAGAATTTCAAATTGGCAAAGTACGTAAAAGCAACAAAGAAAGAGTAGAAGTCACATATAACTTTCGTGACCTTTAGTATCTCCCTGATTTAAATACTTAATCATTCCCCCACTGTTCTGGACTGGTTTTGGTCAGTTTATGTTCAGAACTTCAACCAGATAACTTCAGATTTGTCACCTTTTCATGTCTTTCTTAAAACAACAATTTTGTTGTCGTTGTCGCTGGTTTGCTTGTTTCTCAAACCCTCTTATTTAGCCAAGTCACAAAAGTTCCAAGTGCTAAGGACCTTTCGTAGAGACACGTGTATTTAGTTTAAGCAAACTTCGATTACGATAAAGGAATTATTCCAGCGATTAATCTTGTTAACATAGCATTACTCTTTAAGATTGTCCAGTGTTCTTGCAATCGAATCCAAGTTGTGTTGACTTCGAAGTTTATTTCAGACTCGGGCGGTTGCCGAGAGAAAAGGCTGAGCGGTTGGCCCTTCTTATTGAAATTGTCGAAGAAAAATATCCACAAGGTTTGAAGCATGTGCAATGATAATCATCCCTCTGATCAGTCATCCAGGTTTGATGTTTGAACTGCCTTTGGTAGATTACTGTTGCCTAGTTGCGTCCGCCATCGCCGTGTACTTTACTAGCTGTCGAGCGGAAAACATGTTTTGCATTTTGGCTTCGGGAAAAAGGAATAGCGATTCGTCATCGCAAAACAGGAAAATCCATCTGTTTCACGTTAAAAAAAGTCTCTCTTAGTCAAATAAGAATATAGACTCCTAGGAGAAGAGACTGTTCAGAGGAAAGTTGCTGGTGCTGAAAATAAAACGATAATCAAAATTGATTACGTGGTTATCTCTTAGCGGCATTTTAAGACATAAATCAATTTTTTTTTTCTATCAGACAATACCTGTCACGGGTTGCCATCTTAATGACAACCTTTCATCTGTTTTGAGAACCAAGAAAGTGACTTCCTAGGTAATAAAGGAGGCAGCTGATTAAACCAAAAGATACAATGTTTATGCGCTTTCACTTCGAACAAGCCTCTTCACTCAATCCGCAAAGGCGAAGACACAAATTTGACTCGGCTCATATGAATTAAACTCTTTGCCCCTTAGGTCCTCAGTCATTCTAAATTGCGGTCGTTCATTTATAATTTATCACCAGCCACAAGAAATGTAGTCTAATCTTGACTAATCGACCACAAAAATCCACTCGAATGATTCTGAAAAACTATAAAAAAAAAAAACAAAAAAATTATGCCCGTCGTGTCACACAATGAGGGAATGTTGACGAATACAACAAGGGAAATTTTGTACCGTGTTAATGAAATCTATTTGAACGCATTCTCACCTTGATCGTCCATTTTCTCCATGGTTACAAATGGTATATAAATTCATAATACGCCATATTACACCCGTGGTTTCCTTTCTTTGATAATATTTTCATAACAAAGACAAGTCTTAGCATGCTGTTGTTTTAATGTCGAGTGTTTGAATTACAACTGCTGGACTACTCAAACAAAGGCGAAAAAAGGGCACCGACTTACTGACAATTTACTCACTCACAAAAATGAATCACTTTTCATGTATTTTTCACGTTTTACGATGATTATAGAAGTCGCCCAGTATAATCAAAACTAATGAGATACTCCAACAGGAGTGAGACGAGATACAATGGCATAAAACACTATAATTTCTTTCACACAGACGACGTGATTCAAATTCAATAACTTCCTGTATTACCATCCTTAAAAGGGAGAGCTTGAAACTGAGGTCTGAGATACATTCTTCGTTCAACTTACATTTATTCTTAAGGCCAAACAGTTATAGACTTCTTGCTGGAGATTTTTGTTCTCGTTATCTTGAAGAGAGGACTTTACTTTGTTTAATAGAATTTCCTACGCACACTTCAGCCCTCGTCTGTACTATTGAAAAATGGCGAACCGGGTTTTCGATCTTCATTTGAAGACAACGATTGACAACTCCTCATCTGGGTTCAGTGGATACTAACACAATTTGTATGATTGTATATAAATTTTGTAAATACAGTGTTGCATTTTGAGTTGATATTCTTCCGCTCAATCTTCAAGTTTACGCGTGAGAATTGGGGAATGTTTAGATAAGGTATGATAAACCGCTTTATGGAAACACCATATGTCACGTTTGACAGAATCTACTCGTGCCATTTTTGCCCTTACATAAATGAGACAAATCAAAGCCGGGGTATATGTTAATTTTGCAACATGTTTCTCTACAGGGTGGTCGGCTCTTCAGTGCTCACAGCACGCGAACTGTGGACGGCTCAGAATTGAAAAAGAATGATATTTGTTAGACCGGCTTTGTAAAGATAATTTACCGGAGGCGATTTACGTTAATGAGGAGCTTCCTACCAGGCAAAGGAAACACATTTAAGCGAATAAACACTCGACTTCTCATCCGGGATTTTCTAACAAAGGAAACCGCAATCCACAGAGCGTGATAAAAGATTTGTCAATATATGTTCATCGTGGTGGGCCTGAATCTCTTCGCTCTGAAATGGCAATTCTTCGGGTAAGTATTCCCTGTGTCTGTCTCGATTTCACTCAAAGCAAGGATACTTGCTTGAAGAACATTCAACGAAGGCTTATCTGCCGTGTAACATAACCTATCGGCGTGTGAAAACCAGCCAATTCAGACCTTTCCGAGTAAGACGATTGACTGCCCGGATTCAACCGTTGGTCTGATCCGGCGGACTTCTTGTTTAGTCATGCGTTGAATGAACTAGATCAGGGGCAACCTCATAAATAGCATTTATCAATTTGATTGAACTAGGGCGAGTTCTGAATTGCAAGCAAAAACAATCACATCAAGTGTTCTGTTCAGTATCGAGTTCAGATCCAAGGTAGGATGACATCTGTACGGAAAGGAGAAATCCTCTTTAACACAAGGAGCAGATAACTTGATGTGACATGGCAAGGCGAGCTGTACCGATATTTAACACCAGTGATCTTCATTTCTTGTCATTTATAGGCCCTCTAAAATAAGAGCTGCAGTATTAGAACGGAGAAAACCATTTAAACTTATTAGCCATTTGAAAGAATCGCTTAACTGCCAGTTGCACTGTTGACACAAATTCAGATGAACTTACGGCGGGCGTGAGGTTTTTGTTTGAATCTCGGCACCCCTCACTTTCAAAGATCATTGGTGATGACGAGAAGAGGTTTTAACACTTTTTAATCAATCATTGAAAAGCTATTGAGATAGGAGCGCACGGGATCCAAATGGACAGTAATCTCGGTGAGGGCTTTCCTATTAGACTACCACTGTTCTTTGCTAAACAACTTGTATCTCTTGTTAGTCCAACAAGGAGCAGAGGATCAAGATTGCAGAGTTGAACCCGTTCATAACGTGTGAACTATGCAAGGGATATTTGATCAAGCCAACAACCATTGCCGAGTGTTTACACACATGTAGGTAGAAACAGTAGTAGGGATGTGTGTATGACTACTTTTTTAAAATCCTCACATGTCGACAGGATCTTTCAATGGTCGCCCTTGGGCGTTGAAAGATCCAGGGATTACAGCTCTGGAAACTGGTCAGGATCGCAATTCCGTTCTGCTGTTATGCCCCAAGGCCGGCCAGATGTTCATTTATTATGCACGCTCGTCAAACTCTATTTATTTTGTTATTAGTTTAACTCAGTGACGCCAAGCATTTAGACGCTTATAAATAACACGCTGTCATTCTGCGTGGCACGCGCGTAGACAATGCGAAGAGGCTTTTGTCTTCTATTCTTCGCACAATCTCGTCCTCGGGAGAGAGTCTGCGAGCCAAAGATTGAAAAATTAGTCTTTCACACTGGCCAATTATCGAATAGCCCGATTTATTCACGAAATAAGCCAACCGGTTGACAGGTCCCAAGCGATTTCTTTCGCACTTCACAGAGCGTGATTAAATTTAATTACTTTCAACTAAAGAACATTTACTTTAAAGAGTTAGCTTCGTTTTGCATACTAAGCACGTTAAATATTATTTCGGTAGTATTCTCCTCGAAAACCTTTTGCGCACTTTTTTTTTTCAGCGGGAAATCCCAAGATTTGTGGTTTATTTGTGGCTAAACTCGCGGCGTTATTAATTTTCGTCGCCATTTGAAACGGGAAGACTCCCTGCTGGGATAAAATTGTACAATATTAATGAGACCCCTGCGGTTTTGTATTTGTTTGTACAAATAATCTTGAATTTTAAGTTATGAAATCCTTGTTTCACCATAAAGCGAAATTGGCGGCGACTAGGAACACCGTAAACGTTTTCTTTCTTGCCAGTGGTATTGACAAAGGCGCAGAGTGATTTCAAGTTATCCACGAGAGATTAATTTCATTCATATGTGAAGTGCACTCCACAAGTCACAACAGGAAGGCCTAATGTCGTCTTTCAAGGCTGAACAATGCGATAACAAAGTGCGATAACGTTATCATTAATGTAAACATCTTGTATTCAATAGATTAAGGCTAGGACTGGCTTGCTGTTGCATAAAATCAGTCAAAAGACTTCGTTTCGAGCTAACTTATAAACAATTTTAGGCATTTTCAAGGTCAACCTTTAAACATGAGGTAGATTACGTACCCTGCAAAAATGATAATTCGTTCCGTTGCTCAGATGCTTCAGTTTTTAAGTGATCTCAGGCCAATTCTTTAAGAAATTAATTCCTCGACTGTCAAAAAATGTAACCTTTCCGGTGCGCTCAATTGTATAAACAGACTTTACGTTTCCCGGAAATTATTTAGATGGTCTTCGTTTGGGGGTAGAGATTCAGCCCAAACAAAAGGAAAACGTTGCGTCTTTCTGTTATTGAATTTCTCCGTGGGGGAGACAGGTCAAGCAGAGGCATGTCGACTGGCTTAACAATTCTTTATCTCCTCAAAACGAAATCCTTTCATTAGATTATGACCCTGGTGTTAAGACATCAATAATAAGGGAGTACATCATATTTAACCCTTTAACTCCCACAATTCTCCTTACAGTCAACCATACAATTCTTATAATGTTAATTCAAAGAATTTAGTATTGGATCAACTAATTATCCCCAAATTGATGTTTTTCTCTATTCTCATCACTTACCTGGTTAATATTGTATTGATATTGTAAGGAGAAATTCAGTCTTGGTCACTCATGGGAGTTAAAGGGTTAAAGGCAAAACTGCTGAATAACTCTGAATCTGATGAAGAAAAAGGGGCACCTTCACTACAATAGAAAACATCACAGCGCACATTGTTTTTGGCGGAGCAATTAAAACTTAATAAGAAATAATTACTTAAAACATTTAACCCACTATTATCACACGCGAGAGAAGAGAGAAGAAACTACGCTGTTTTCGTTTTTTTCTGTACGGATCCAAATTAAAAACTATGCTTTTTTCAATGAAATATCATCATAACTCATCGTTAAAAGACCTCATGAAGAGAATGAATACCATTTTAATTGCCTTTCTCTATTTGACGACTTGATTGATAAAATAAATAATCTTATTGTGTCTCGTTTTTATCAGATATTACAAAAGTTTATTGTACGTAGCGGTGAGGGATCTTTTGTTTCCAAACAAACTGGAGAATGTAAAACAAAAAGGAAACAAAGCGGAAACGTGCGCGCCTCTATAAGTGTGAAATCAAGGCAACAGAAAGAAACATCAACCATGTCTGCAATATTTCTGTTTCTCTGGCGCTGTTAGAGAAACGCAATTGTTAGAGTCAAGAGTTTTCAAGTCAAACAGATTACAAGAATGTTTAAACCATCACGCACTACACCGCTGTTCAGCAAATAAATGATGAGTTTTAACAAGAGAGGATACTTTATATTCTCCTAGTTTTACTCAGTGCATTTATCAGCGAATAAGGTTGAAAATGAGTGAATAACCTCGTACTATTTTTTCAGCGAATGACTTAAATTTGACGATGAAAAATGAAATATAAAAGATCTTCCTTTGTCAGCAGTCTTCCTGAATGTACAGTTTCTGTTTCTCAAGTAAATTTACTCGGGTGTTTTTAAACTCATTCATATATATTTAGCCGACGCTTTCGAAAGTGTCATCGGATTTAGTGCCCTTTTCTGAGAATACGTGGATAATATTTCGACGAGCTTCATCTGGTGTTTGCACTAGCAGTTTCTAATCCTCTTAAGAGGGATTTGTCCCATTTTCTGTGGTAGCAGCAGGTGTAGTCTTAAATACGGGTGCGGGATAAATTTGGTGAAAAATTGCCAATTTATGTTTGTTCTCAAGTATTTTGTTATCAAAGGTCCTGGATTAGGATGTGGGATTATGAATTATCCTGTCTTCAATTTTTTTCTTTCTTCTTTTCCGACCCATAATGATTTCCAGTGCTCGTGTTACAACTGTAATCAAAGATTTTCGATTGCCTTCGGGGCTTTCGGTCCGAGACCTCATTACCTCTAAAAAAAAAACATGATAGCGTGCGATGAAAACTGAATAAAGATTCAATCGAAATTCTAAACAACACATGTTTTAAAAATTTTGGTCGTCCGCTGGCGTCAATTACTTGTTGTAGAACGTCCATGCGCCAAATATGAAAGCGAAAATGAAAATATTAATTTGGGACGGAAAACAAAAAGCGGAAGAGAAGTTGCGTCTTGTTATTTATGACATTCAGCTTAATTTCTGAGGCATTTTGGTATCTTTGAAAGACAATATAGTATTTTGATTTTCCTCTTCCTAGGAAATTTGCGATTTCATTTCCCTTTATTGCTGGGAAGGGGTGTGTGGGGTGGGCAAGTGACTGATCTCCTCGCCTTTCCTTCGTTGGAGGGAGTAACATACCCAACAGTGAAATAACACAATCAAAAGGGATGTGAAGATTGACTCTCTCAGTCTTTTGTGTGAGACCAATCGGGAAAAAACAATAAAGGTTTCGATTAAAGATTTGAAAGGCTGACCCTTTGATTTGAAAGGCTGACCGTTTGAGGTCTGTGACGGAACTTACTGGAAAATCATACTAAACAACTGAGCTGCAGGGAACTCATGACTACCTTAGGACAACAGCAAAGGACAGGAAGCCCGTTAATTATATTAAAGTGTTTATTAAATGTACATTGGAGTATTCATGACCCACCATCGGAAAGCTTTGCTCTTTGATGTTATACCATTCTAATTTACAAACTGTTCTAAGGAAAGGCTCAGTAACTGCTAAACTTTACTTTTTTCCAGGGAGTCGTCTGATTTCAGAGACTAGATATAATTTTTTTCCGAGAAAACAGTTAATTTCTCCTAGTTATGTTACATATAACTTTCATAACCCTTTGGGGGAGTTTCCGCCCATCACATGCGTTTCCGCTAACACTGATGAGGGAAACATTTATTTCTAGGAAAGCAATAATTACCTCATTAAATATATATAACGGAATTCGAGGAATTTCTAGAACCTCACTTCTAGGTTTGAACCATGTTTTCCAAGAAAAATATTTTTTGGTATTAAACTCCTCAGTGCCTGTAGCTATTAGAACTCATAAAACAGAAACTATCCATAATGATGCCATATATTCTGCTGTTGATTCCTTTTCTATAATCGCTGATCCTGGTGACTATTTTTATAGTCAACCCAAACCATCAAAAGCGATGACTATACAACTCCGCCCTTCAATTTACAAATACATCAGTACTGGCAACATCTGGTCTTCTCCTGAGAGAATACATTGTTGTCTCAACTTCATTAAAGCCTTACAAATTTTAACCTACTCTCCTTCTCCGAAAAAGGAGGATGTTTTCTTTCTTTTCTTTTGATACCCGTCTAGCGTCTTACCCGCTACGGAAGGGGACCAGGGTAATCTCAATTTTACTTCGGGCAAGGGTCTACGGCTACACCTAGGCAGGCCGCATTTTCTTTGTTCACTCAGACATATGCACGATCTACAGTCTTTGATTATGTTGTTCTGTCTTGTCAGTCTGCAGAAGTTGCATTGTGCAGAATCTTCAAGACAACGAGGAAAATATCTGCCCGAAGTGTTCCACGGTTATTCATGAAACCAACCCATTTGAGATGCTAAGGTAGGACAGTATTTGTACAAACCGGTGATGTACTTTCCCACAGGAACTTTAAAAATATTCGGCTAGACCTTGATTTTATTAGTTATAGTGTTATTGCCCCAACCCACAGTAGGAATAACTAGCTGTTTCCACTTTTGGTCGTGATTAACCAGGCGTAGCAACAGGCGTAAATTGGGTGACGAGGGAAACTCCCACTGTTTCCATAATTCACTCCTTTCTTATTTGTACTCCCCTCCTTCGCTTTCCATTCAGGGAAAGTACCAGGAAGTAGACGTATTGGTTTATCCGCCTAACTCGCGTATAGGAAATTAATTTGACAAGTAGTGCACACGAGCTCAGCTGTCTCTTGATTCTCTTTGGCTCTGTAATATTTGGACAATAAAAAGTAAAAAACTTTGGATTACCACTCTCCTTGCTATAGTTTTCAGTTGAATTCTACCTGTGGTGTGTGAAAGTACATCGAACTCTTTTGCACCAGCGGGTATGGTTTCAGCTGAGAATAAATTGGAGAACTGAAACAAATCTAATTCAGTACGCCGTTCTCAACTGACGTAACTTGTAAATGAGGAAAATACGAGAACGGCCAAAAACAGCTCGATCTAGAAAATTCCATTCTTTTTTTTTTATCCTTACATGGGCAAAATCACCCTTATGAAGCGTCGATTGAAATAACACCTAATTAGCTTTCGTCTGAGTAGTTAATCCACACCCTTGCTGTACAACTGAAAATTCAAATCGACCTATTGAGCGTTGAAGCGTGACCGCCTGTCAGCACTTTTCACCTGAGATAGGAGTGTTCAGTGTGCAAACATGCCACAGCTTTAGCCATGTAACACAGCTTTGTTAGAAACAGAATTTGGACAGTCTAATACGAAATAGCATGGGGGAGAGAAACGGTTATTAGGGCCTCTTTTACTATTAGTCAAGAGTAGATTTACTGATTAGATAGCTGACCTTAAAACCTAACAGGCTGGAAACCTTGGTAAAATCATGTTTCTTTATACATCATCATTCTCAGTAAATCTGCTTAAATTTGGACATCTATTACATGCCTCCCCCTATAAAGTGCGTGTTTTGGCATATAAATAGTTACAGCTAATTTTTTTGCGGAAGTCGTTTAATTGCCTGCCCTCAAGAAAGTTCCTTTTTGTGACGGAGATCGTATTGTGTGCGAAACTAGTTTTTACCGCTCTGCCTTTGTGTGGGTTTCAATCAAAGGATATCCGTTGGTTATGGGTTTTCCTGGTCAGACAGAATTTGAATGAAAGCATCACTAATTTGTGCCTTGTTTATTTGTCTTGATCCCAACCGTCTTCAAATCTTTTTCACGCTCACGGAGAATTTTATCAGGTGTACCAGCCAAAAAAGGAAGAAGATTGTGAGCAAAATATATCATACCGACTTTCAACGTGGAAATAAACATAATATCGTTCCACATATAAATACATTAATAATTTACTCTAATCTGGGAAACTTCTTTCTTCCAACAAAATTATTCGAAGTCTTCTCAGCCCAGTAAAATGTTTTGGGAAAATGTCGTGGCTAGGGTTAGCCTAACCTAAGCTGAGCTTCGTCTCGAGATGCCTGCTCGCGTTGTTCAAATCATCCTGGCGATCGAAATTTTGGGGCTGAGCTCTTTTTCTTCGTATGTTTTTATTTGAGCTCACTTTGAGATATTTACTCAGATCATATTCTCAAATTTCTTCTCTTTTTATGCAGATCAGACCAAATGTTAGAGGATATTATCTTCAAATTGGTGCCAGGACTACAAGAAAGTAAGGAATGATGTAAATTTGTGCGTTTTATATCCTTCGACACTTCATTTTCTTCCTGCTATCAGCTCCCCTTTCCCTTCTACTTCTCCACTTTCTACTTTTTCCCGCGCTTTTTTATCTCTTTACGCGACGTGCACCATGGAAAAGCAAGTATTTTTCATTCCACCAGCGCATGGTTTCTTCCAAACCTCTGAATTTCTCAGAAATGTACCTTTGTTTTCATCGAAATTATCGCAGTTTCAAGGCTAGGTTTCTAATGTTTTTCCTTGTGGGAAGTTTTGGTATCGTTACATAATAACGAAACTATTCCTCGACACGAAACGTCTTCTCACCATCAGCGTTCTCAGTTTTCAATCGAAATAAAACCCCAGATTTTAAGTTGCCTTGCAGTTTCGATCAAACGATCGAATTTCAGAATTTTTTAGCGTTAACACAACAGCTTCATAGGTGTTCCTTGTTCTTCCCGTTTCTTAGCAACCCTACAAAGGAAGTGAGCAGTTTCGTTTTCCCTTTCAGCGAGGATCACGAAAACAGGAGCTTCTCGGGTCCTTATTTGCATTGAAGCTGTTTATTGTGACGCTTGCATTGTTTACTTAAAAATAGAAACGACTTCCCCTGTTATTATTTTAAACGGTTGAGTGGTCAAGCAAATTTGTGATTCCGCCTACAGACTGATTGGGATGGCGTGACATTATGAATCATATCCTGTTACTATGTTTGCTGGTGACTGTTGAAAGCGTCCCCTTCACTTTCTAAAACAGTTTCGCGGAATCGTCGCCACAACTTTTCGAAAACCTCCCGCTTTCGCATTTCCAAGAGCGTGAAGATCGATTTCTAAGAAAGGCAATTATCACAACCTAGTCGTTGTTAAACAGAAGTATTGGGAAACTGAATGTTACTTTGCTGGATTTTCTCGACAACATATCGAACATTTTACCTTTTGAAATCAACCAAAAACAAACCAGCTGTATTATTGCTGAAGCTGTTGTTTTGATTTGCATAATTGCAAGATTGAACTTGAAAACACCGGAAGACGTTTGGATTCGACATCGGGGAAACCCCCCTTTGCGTCCGTTCGCCTGATTGGCTGATATAAATAGGCAGAAAACTTCCTTATTTTCCCTCTTAGCCAAACTCAAATTTCACTTCGATTTATAAAAGGAAGACGTAAGACTCCGATGCATTCGAAGAGTAAATCGCGCATGAAATAACTTATCCGCAAAGGTTTCAATCCACCTTCAGTTACGATGGATAAGCACGAGCCTATCGAATTTGTCGTACTTCAGGAAAAGATTCCGCTTGTGAAGGAGAATATCAAAAAAATACGGTCACTTTTCAACGTCGATGTCACGCTCAAAGCGAACGATCAGAAGAGTGGACAACGATGGATTTGCCTTCAAGGAAACGACGCAGAACTTCAGAGGAAGGCACAGACCTACATTAAATCTCTATGTGGCACTAGTCAGCACCCTATAGAAGCGCCCATCGGCCTGTGTGAAAAGCTAAGGAAAGGTAATTTGGGTATGGAGGTTGAAAAGCTTACAGGCGCAGTACTGTCGTTTAATGACACAACGGTGTACGTCCAAAGTGATGATAGTTTAGTCACAGTCTTGGCAGTCTCTGAAATTGAGCGACATATCGCGAATTTCAAGAAAGAAGCTAAAATTGGCGTCGCTTCGAGAAAATGTGACCCTGCCGCTGTACCGGATTCCGCCGTGAACATTCCAGAACGTTCTACGTCAGTTGCAACAGATATTCCGCCTTCCATGAGGGAATTCGCCTATAAACTGAACTATACAGACAAAGAAATCGACGCAGTCATAAAAACATTCGGAACAGAGATCAATATTAATCAACTGTTACAGGAACTTGTTAAGAACACGGCGTCTGCGCAGCAGCTTGGCACCGCTCCAGAGGACACGACTTCGCTTCCTGGTTCTGTTCGAGGAAATTGTGTGGCGCCACCTCTGCAACCGACAGAAATGCGTCGTAATCTGCTCGCTAGAGGCCCTCCCGCTACTCCCCCTAGAAGACCAGAGTATCATTACGTTCAAGAAAAAACTAGGCTGGTCCCCTCTAATAATTTGCGGCCCATCGTGATTGATGGCAGCAATGTGGCAATGAGTCATGGCAACCAAAGAGTGTTCTCGTGTCGAGGAATACAAATTTGCGTGGAATACTTTCAGCGGAGAGGACATAAAGACATTACTGTGTTTGTACCCATGTGGAGAACAGAAGAATGTAGCCAAGACAGTCCGATCATGAACCAGGAAGTACTGCACATTTTATTTAGCCAAGAAATTTTGAAGCTTACTCCATCAAGGTCAAATGGTAACCGTCGCATCGTGTGTTACGATGACAAGTATACGGTAGATTTGGCGGACCAAAATGGGGGAATAATTGTTTCCAATGACAATTTCAGAGACCTCCTTGAAGAAAACCCAAGATGGAAAGAGACAATTGAACAGCGCACTCTGATGTACACCTTTGTGGGGGATCGCTTTATGCCTCCCGACGATCCTCTGGGAAGGAGAGGGCCCTCGCTGAATGATTTTCTTAGAAGAGGGTCTGCTACTCATCCCAAAATATGCCCGTACCTAAAGAACTGCACTTTTGGCAATCGTTGCAAATACTACCACCCTGAAAGGGACACACAGCGGCAACACGGGGGAGCTTCTATCAAAATCTCCCCCGAGATAACTGAACACCTAACGAACGGTACAGGGGAACTTAATATTACAACTCAATCCCCAATTACTTTGTCTACACAGCGTTGCAACAGGAACACTTTGGTATTAGAATCAAGAGGCAGTTTCCAGTCCCAAGTTGACAATCGTCCTGGTCGTCCCAATGACACTTTGTCTCGTGGCATTTCAGCCCGCGGTGTAACTTCGCATGAGAATTCTTACATTAATAGTCGCGAGGGACCTTTATACCCCCGCGGGTTTTACGGTGGACATGTTTACGCGGACCATCATCATCCAGTAATTCCTGACTATGCGCCTCCCATGTATCCTCCCGATATGAACCAATTTCCACCGCTCGCAGCACCATGGCCTTCATCCCCGTATAGTAATCCTGCACAGTATGCACCGTCACCGCCAATGGGATATCCACAGGGGAATCCAACGTACTGTTATTTCGAGCCTCGTCCGCCCCCGCAAGATAATTTTCAGGGACCAAGACATTCTGGGGATCAGGTTGATGGTAACAAAGAAAACAAATCCCTCAGCAAAGAGGAAATAGAAAGGCTTAGGGCCATCTGTGACGATGAAAATAAATTAGAACGCATTCTGCGCGATAACCCTCGAGAGCGGGATATTAACAAATTAGCCCATCTTTTATTGGAGAACTAAAATCTCTAAGTGAATTAAAATATTAAAGACTCAAGTGTCTTTTAAATTAATACATATATCAATGACTGTTTAATATTTTTGAGTATCGCTTCGAATATTACGAGATGTAAAAAAGCGCTACAATACTCAACAAATTTTAACCCTTTCACTCCCAAGATCTCATAAGTAATTCTCCTTTCTGTCTCCCATACAATTCTTATGATATTAGTTAGGAGAATTTGGGTTTGGATCAACCAATGATCCCCTGATTGATATTTTTCTTTATTCTCCTTAATTATCTTCTTGATATTGTCTTGATATTGTTAGGAGAAATTCTGTCATGGTCACTCATGGGAGTGAGAGGGTTAACAGATTTACCCCATGTATATATTCTCATCCTTTCACCTCTTTGATTCCTTTGTAATGTACATAATCTCTTTTCAAACTGTATCATAACTCTACAATAATAAAAACCTGATGAAGAGTCTTATTTGATTGCACAATATACTCTTTTGTTACCGTACTCTTTTCATTATTTCTTCCACTTTGGGAGAACTGTGGTTAATTTTGAGATGTTGTAGTTAGGGTGGTTTGTCAATACAACGGTCATTTTATCCCAGAATGTTTCAACAACCACATCGGAAACATTATAAATTTTTTTCCTCGTCTTCTGGTTCTTGAAAAATACGTGTTAGCTCGCATGTCCTAATTACTTTGACGTCAATCTGACTTCAAGTCTTTTCAAATTGTTCCGGTTAGGAAATTGAAAGAATTCTGCTCTCTTGTTTGCGAAATCTTTGTTATATCAACGTATCTCGTGTAGCATAGTACTTAGTTTTTGCGTGCTTTCGGTTAAGAGATCCGTATTCTTCAAGAAACGCAAAACGCGGTCAATAAAACAATATCTTCAATCTGGCGAGTAGTTGAATCCAAAGAGTCCCACTTCCGCTTTCGATTTTGAAATTGAATCGTCCGGCTTTACGTGTTAAGGAACTACGCAGTTAAGTTGTTCTCAAAGAAAAAAATGTGGCACTTGCTTGGCTCGAGGAAGATATTTTTAGGAAATCAGAAACACGCCATTGAATTTAAGCCCTTGTCACATTTAACCGACAAACATCCAGCTAAGCTGTGATGGGTATCCTCTATCCTCGTGATATTTATGCTTGCTCAGCAGTCAGTTGGATTGACACAACTGCAGCTTCCTTCCTCGAGCGGAATCTATTCTTATTGCATTGGAAGAAAAGGTCCAAGGACGCCTAGTTGTAACCCGATATCTTTTTTTCCGATTTACCTCAAAACTCGGTTTCTTGTCGTATTAATTAGTGGTTTTTACTCTTTGCGTTGTGCATTTTATTATTCTTCACAGGCTGAATATCTTGACTCTAGACGAAGATTTTATATCACCTCAATATATCCCCTCAGCTCTATCAGCTATAAGCTCAAATATCATTTCTTTAAAAGCCTTTAAACCCAGGTGAAGTCCTGTCCTTCACTTGCCTCGAGAGAGTATTGTCTCGAAGGGGGGCTTATATCACAAGGTTCTGCGGTTTAGATTCCCTCACCATTTGCTGAGTATTTCCGTTTTATGCCTCTCAGCGGTTTCATCACAATCCGTCTTATCATTTTTTACTATTTCATGATAATGCGCACGAGAGAGCGATTGAAATTGTGATCGTTTCTGAGACCATCAATACCATGACGGTGAAATTAACACGTCAGCTTTCCCATAAGACGTTTTGTAGTTGTCTGAGAATGCTGATTCAGCTATGTGGAAAAAATTAAATATTCATAATTATAAACCTTGTATATGGTCCAGTTCGCTACCAAATTATCAGTAGCACAGTTGGTAAAACATCAGGCCGTCATTCTCATAAGGTCTGAAGTTCGAATTCTTACGCGGTCTTAAAATGTTCATCTTTGTCCCATACTCGTAACAATAACTATTAAGCTTCTCTGGGTGACCATCTATTTGTTGACTGCCTTTAAACTAATTTATTGATTTCTGTCTGTTCTTATTAAAACAGGAGAAAGGTGTCGTTTAGAGGAATTCAATAAAAACGTGCGATCAGGGAAGGAGGACATAGGCTTGCTTAAAAACAGGCACAAAGGTACTCTTTTTGAAACAAACAACAGTTTTGGAGGGGCTTTTTGTTAATTCTTTCATCGCGATTGAGCACGATGAAAAACGTGAATCTTAATTTCAAGGAATCTGACCTTTCATAACCCTTTAACTCCCATGAGTGACCAAGACAGAATTTCTCCTTACAATATTAATTCAATATCAACCAGATAAGTGATGAGAATAAAGAAAAATATCAATTTGAGGATAATTTGTTGATCCAATACTAAATTCTCTGTACTAACATTATAAGAATTGCATGGTTGACAGTAAGGAGAATTTAAAATTTGATCTGGGAGATAAAGGGTTAAATAATTTTCTCCTCGGTCACTCTAGACTCATTGACAGATGAACCTCCTCATAAGAAATACAGAAGCCTGTCACGTAAGGTGCAACACTCAGATGACTCGGACGGTAAACACAATTTCCACAGAGACGATCCACAGATTGGTGTCTGTCTTCAATATCTCAGGTATTTTACTGGGCAATACCTTGTTTCTGAGACTATGAATTCATAACACAAAGTGATTCACTCCGATTGCATGAACAACTTAAGTTGTTTAATACTAGGAGTATAGAGGAACCTCTTCTTTGTGACACACGCTCGTTCAAGGGGCATAAACGTTGATTTAGATTTAAGATATTCTTCTCATAATTTGGCATCTGTTACTTTAATTGAAGAGAAACCTCTATCTGGGAAACTCTTTTCTAGTCCGGAGAAATCTTTTAAGTAACGTAATTGCTCTTGGCTTCTCACATTCTTTTTTCCTTATTATTTCTCTTATCTCATTTTTAACCTTTGATAGTCGCCCTTATGGCAGTTCTTACTGAAACGACCCGAGTTCGATTCTCCAAACGAGGAGTTGAACTTGTTTCAGGTTCTTGTCCAAGATCTGAGAGTTTTTCTTCAGGCTTTCAGGTCCTCCTCCCTTCACAAAAGCGAGATGGAGTTGGAAACAGTGAACATGAAGAGCCACCTTAGAGAAGTCCACTGTTACTTCCAATTCATCCAATCCCATTTATATCCATTGAGCAATCACGCTAACTCTGTTTTCACCTTTGCAGGGACTGTATCGATGATGGATCAGAATGCGGCGAAGCAAAACCTGACTCTGGAAACATAGAATCCCAGAAACTATCCGAAAGGTGCAAAAAACTATCTTGTTATTTTAAAGAAAATACGTAAAATCGCCATATGTGGGCGGACTGCGGAGTAAAATATCTCATTTTGATTGTGGAGGGCGAGTCTCAACTTGGGTGTGGAAAATGATATGTTTTGGTCTGATACAGGGCGAGGACTTGAAGAAGGGACGGCACACCCTTGCTAAGAATTTCAAGGACGATACCCTCTCCCACCACTCCTCCCCGGATAGATAGCCTATTTGGTTTCATTGCGGGAACAGAATATCTGCCTGATATCTATCATTCTGTTTTCTTTAATCTCACTAACTGTGGTTGCTCTTTTTATAGATCCAGAGAAGAGTCGAATTTAAATGGTCCGATGTGGGAACTCGTTAGGAAATACATCAGATGCTCGTCAAGAACAACAATCGGTCACATCAAGAAATATCTAAAGCTCAAGTTAAATCTTTCAGCTGTCGATCAGGTATAAAATTGGCTATTGACCTTGGAAAACAACTAAGCAGTAAACTTCAAAAGTTCGTCAGTGATCTTCCGCTAAATAAACTTCAAAAGTTCGTCAGTGATCTTCCGCTAAATAACTGGCAAATCTTCCTTTTAGATGCTTCACATTTGCTCAATAAAATAGTTTTAGAGAATTTGGCATTTTACCAATATAGTGCTCTCCAGCTTAGAAGTAAATCTACTCTCATCACCTACGTACAAGATAAAGTATCAAAACAGTGGGGAGAAGTAGAGTGTTAATCAGTCTGGCTACACGTTCGCCGAACCTATGCCCTCTCGTTAAATTATCTTGCTCCTTAAATTTCCACTGATGGTGTGAATCAGAAACATATCATGGTTCCTTCAGAGTTGCCTTTTACTTGATTAAAAGAAAAAAAAGACCTTATTTTAAAAACGCAATGCGTTTAATTGCTGTCCTTAACAGGTTGAAGTGATGTGCAACGGAGAAATCATGGGTAAAGATCACACTCTAGAGTTCGTTTTCATGACAAGATGGAGGGTGAAGGCAAGTAGAACTCATCAAAATGAATTTTATTCTGAAATAATGGTCGTACATTGTGAGAGCCTGGTTTTTGGATTATCCTATGCACGTGTTACATTGTGTTGTGTGTGCGTGAGACAGGGTTGGCGAATTGAACACCGCGTAAAAATAGAAAAGGCTAGTGCACAATCTCCTGGACCCAGTTGTTCGAAGGCCGATTTTTGCTAACCCAAGGTTAAATTTTCATCCAGGTTTCTTCATTCCTTTATTCAAAAGCCTTTTTTTCTGTATCCTTTTTAGAGCATCCAATAACCTTATCCTAGACTGAATTTTCTTTGAAAGTTTTCAGATTTTAAATAAGATTTCACACTAATTCTGGGTTAACTTAACCCAGCTCTCAATAACCCAGCCCAGGACTTGTTACGCGAGCTATTTCGCATGTTTTCTCGTTTTGTTCTCAGTGTACTGGTATCGACGCATCGCAGCGTCAATGCGAAATATCTATACAGCGTCTCCATATTGGATGCTACTCATTTTGCGCACACGAAAATTTCATTGTTTACAAATAGCTGGGGGGAAACGCGTTTCCAAATATGTTTTAGATCTTTGCGACATCGTGTCAGTCAGGTCAAATGTAATTACGAGGCAATTTCTGGATTTGGCTTCAGCGATCACCTTTTGAGATTTTTAGATAAGAATACAGAATTCCAATTTGTTGTACCAGTTAGCTTGTTTTTTATAAAGGGTCTTGACGTGATGACAACCATTTCATGATTTTTAGTGAATGCTTCTATCTTTGCATAACTTAACTAGTTAACACTTTCTCCCAAAGATAACTTTAACTTTTTTCTCCTTTCACAGGACAGTACAATTTTAACCCTCCAGTACCGACCTAAACTGGATTTTTTATGACAATTGAATAAAAGATTTTAGTTAAAAACAGAGAACACTCTGATTAACATGTAACCTTTTCTTAGACAAATTCAAGCCATATTCACCAAACAAGTCTCAAGAATAGAAAAATTGGCCAGCTCCAGTGTTTGTCTTGATTTCTCTTTTACTTCACATCACTCTTTACCAATTCACAAGGAAATGCAGCTGAAAGGAAAATTGATTATTAGCTGTTTACAGTTTAAAGGTTAATGTAGTTTGTTTTTTCTTTAGAAATCATAAGTTATTTATTTTATTAGTTCAGAGAAAGAGGGAAAAACCCAAACTTTAATCTTCCTCTGAAAAGGGCGGAGGGAGGAGGCTTGAACCAGTCTCCTTCCTCTATAAAAGATTTAGCCTGCGAGTTAAATGGCAGATGATCCGAACTAGTCTTGATGACGCTTCTAATTGGTAGGGTTGACTAATTTTCACGTCTTCTTGAAAATCAGTAATAGATGAAACGTCATCTTGAATGATTTCCCCTTCCAGCCAATTGCGCTTCTTGAAGAACGATTTGCTGGCCCCAACTTTTTACTACCGCAATGAAACTCCACCAGTTCAGCGGTACCTTTTCACTCCCGAGATTTCATCAGTAATTCTCCTTACTGGCTGCAATACAGCTCATATGATGTGAGTTTGGCAATTTCCTAGTGGATCAACAAGTAATGCCATATTTGACGTTTTTCTATATTCTTATCACTTGTTTGCTTGATATTGTATTGATATTGTAAGGAGAAATTCTGTCTTAGTCACCCATGGAAGTTAGGAACTTAAGAAGGGTGTTCATTTCGTTGAGTTGAACACATGGTTAACTTCTTTACATTATCTCGTTGTGTTTTACTTTGTAACTTCGAGAAATCCTACATTTGCTGACAAGAAATTTTCAATCCTGTCACCTTATAGTTTCATTGCTTATACGGCGACTTTTGTTTATTTATTTGTTTGTTATGTTTTGAAGTTTGGTAGTTTGAATTACGTTAGCTGCAACTTTTCGTACGGGTTATTAAACCAAGCGCTCTATTTTCGACTAAATATATTTCTAAGAGCATTGTTCTCTTTAAACGACAATAGGAATTTGATCTTAATATAGCAATTAAGGAACTGCAAGTCGATTCTAAATATCGTATCTCGTTGTCTGTTCCAATATGTCAGACGTATGTAGTAAGATCGAATCAATATTAGTTTGTTCTCAATTAGATATTGTAAATACTGTATATGGGCATGTAATGTTTTTGTAAAAAAAAAAAACCCAGTATTAAACTAATATAAAGATATCAATAAATTGTTTACAGTATATACTTTGTTTACTTGAACTGTGAGGGTTTTTTGTAAACAAGAAACTAACAATAGCTATAGAATGTTGAAATTTTTCATGGGTCCCCAAACTTAGTATGGCATCCAGTTTTGTTTTCCGTGGATTCCAGATTTGCGCAGGAAATTTTTTATCTGCTGCCAAAAAATATCGAAGTTGTTCACTCTTGTCCTACCAGTATGATATACTTTTAGCGCAGAGAGTCGAAATAATGCCGTTTTCGCCTAACTTCTAGATTTTTAGTTGTTTTTAAGAAGAAAGCTGGAGTTATTTAAGTCGTCAATGTGTTAACGCTGAAAGTTCTGAAACTTACTGAGATGTAAAATCACCTAGAGGAAATAGTACGGTTCAAAGAACTTGTTTTTTTTTGTTATTGAAGTATGCAAATTTCCAACAAACCTTGGCCTTAATGATTGTGATCATGTAAATAATCCTATACCCAATCTTCTAAATGAAATTTATTGGATCACAATGAATTGTTATCCTTTCATGATGTCGTCACTTCCGATGTGAATCGCGACGTTTCGACTACGTGCTGCGAGTCTTCCTCAGGCGATGAGGTTGCAGGACTAATTACGTGCACGAAAAAATTTTGATGCATTATGCTCTGCTGTGATTGATTGATTTTCACCAGATGTAATCGCCTTTGACAGTTTAGAGGTCTGTCTTACCCTAAGTATGAACCTTCGATCGGCTACAAATATCTGGTTCAATCAGGAGGCCAAGTATCTGATATGTAACTGTGTGGTTCCTTGTCTACATGAAGGTTATCCAGGCAGTTCTGTTCACTGACAATGATTTCATCAAGTTTTTTTCTAGTCGTAGGAAGGGTAATTTGGCAAACCTCCTGGTTCTTCATGTTTCAGATGCGTGGGCCATCAAGATTTCTTCCTCTCCTTTGAAAATGCCATGTTTTTTTTTTCTCTCAGTTGTAAATGTTTTTTTAGATATAGCAAAAAGGATCAGCTGCAACTTGGCAACAGATGTAATTACAACCACCGCTCTTTGTCGATAATTTAACCGGACATTAACTACCAAACGCTTTCCCGTTTAATCCGAGATTTCAAAGAATATAGAAATGATGTTGCCTTGTTGATAATCAGCGATGTTGAAAAATGAAATACATTGACGACTTCTTCAAGTCGGCTTTGGAAACTTAAACAACCATTTTTAAAATCGTAATTATTCTGGAAACTCTTGTTTTGCTACGCAACCTGACAGCAACAGGAGAACGTATAAATGCTGTCACGATTTCCATTGTGAAAGGTTGATTTGGTTTTTTCCGAGTTCGGCTGATTTACAATCCGAGTCAGTCGCCCTTATCTGAAAACCCTGCTCGTTCTTTATCCATCAATTCTTACCTTATTGGTATTTTTCTCTCTTAGGAAAAAATTATTCATGTGGTTTTAATCTATTTGAAAGCGATTATCTACGGCTCCATAAGGGACCTAAATCGCAGTAGGAAGATGTTAAATTTTCAGCTCTGCATTGGTTTAGAGAAAGATATCATTCACCTCGTTGCGAGCGTGAGGCAAAGAAAACAGATGTGTTCCCTTGTGTAATAAAATCCCAGAACTTTGGACTCGGAGCTCCGATTCTCTACCCTTGAGTGACAGATAACTTCATGACGGGTCAGGCTATTAGAATGTTTAAATGTGACACGTAAATGGTCTCATATTATTCCTTATTTCAGCATAGTCCCTCAATGGTGCCCTCTCATCTCTCGAAACGAATAATTTGCTGCCTCACGAAAATCAACAGAAGTGCATTGACGCGCATTTTTTCTACACGAAACTGAAAATTGCTTCAGTCAGTTAGGTTTTAAATTGAGAACTCGGAAAACATAAAATGTGATGAAGAAATTAAAACTATGTGCAGTTGCCTCAAACGGAGCTAAAACAAAAGAGTTCTACAGCAAGCGACTTTGTTTAATTTGAATTGTGTATTTTGCATTGTTATTTGTTTCTTTCCGTTGAGTGTCATTCAAAATTAGTAGAAAAATACAGAAAGTAGACTTGTCATTCTTCCACTGACATGTTTAAGACACTGACGTTTCAGACACTAACGTGTTTACATATTAGAACTTCTCTTAATGTTAATTCAAGCTCACTCGGGACAACATCTCCCGGCGGCACTCAAAAAAATGGACTCAAGAAATATCATCATTAATAGCCGTTTATGCTGGAGATATTTACTGCTGTGATACACCTTTATAATACTTCACGTAGGTCGAATCGATATCCCACGAAATTAAACGGATGAGGATTTATTTTGGCTGACATTTGCGGCGAACAGTTGCCCTTCGTAATTTCCTTAATATTTTACGTTTGTGATCTAAATGTATTCTGTTTTAAATTTTTAATGACCATCGGTGTCACTTTCAGTGTTTTGAGGTTTGTTCAGTTGTCTTTTGTAGATATTCACTGAAGATTTACATAATACTATTATCCCTCTCTCGTACCGTCAATTCTTATCTAAATATTGCTTTAGCATTTCCAAGTTTAAGAAAACAATATAGCTATAAATTAACCGAGGAAGTTGCTTCTGCGGGGATGCACGCGAATGTATCCTGGCTTATCTTGAAAAAACCGCTTAATCTAAGCCGTCAGAATTTCCCGCAACCGAAATACCAATTTTTTGGCTACAAAGCTTAATTCCTATTTTAGAGAAAAGGTTGTGACATTCTCGCCATCAAGAGTCATTAAGATTTTCCTTTGTCCGACTGCATTCTTTATTGTATTGTTCGTGTGTTTTTGAACTGCCTTTTTCTATATTTTTTTAATCGCACAATTCGAGTTGCGTTGGGTACGTATGAACTTCTACTTATAACTTTCTAAATAATTTCTAAACAAAGTTTAACTTTGTGAGATTTTATCATAGGACAATTTAATTTCTCAGACGCGTTTCGAACAGTTGATTACTTCATGCTCCGTGGTAACTGAAAGAATAGAACTTGAAGTGACCATTATTTGGCAATTAACAAGTTAGTGCGTTGATTGCAGTTGAGTTTTTAAGTTGATTCACAGGAGTTTCACCGCCCGGTGATTATTTAGATATATCCAGCTGATGAGTTAATAAACAAGTTTGCTCCTTTATCCAATTGGTTGTTTTGTTTCTATCCGGGAATTTTGATCATTCGCGACCGCAGGCCACACGAATAGAGGTCGTAAAGAGATTTGCTGTGTTGTCACAGAATACAGAAGAATTGACAAGACCGACCAGCCGAACGTCTGTCTAAATTCAAATGGCCGTTCTTCAGGTAAATGAAGTCCAAACGTTCCTCTCTTCTTCTCAATCATGTTCTCAAATAATGTTTTTTTGTTAACAACGTATTCCAGGCCCGCTTACTTCTGATTTCAGAGCTGGCGATGCTTCTAAAAAGAGTAATGTATTAGCAAAGGGTCATATGTAATGGCGGCAACTTCAAGCGTGCATTTACCATTTCACTGCGTACATACGTCAGTAATTTGAAACACGAAATTGACACAAGTGAAAGCTATGACGTGCTCTTAAGAGAAGGGGAATGCAATGGGGCATATCCTTCCTGCCAACAATATTTCTTGTAAAGGGATAATTACAATATAAAACAGGAATCACTTCCCTCAAATTTTCTCAAACGTGATACTGGAAATGTATGAAATTCCAGCCAGTTAAATCGCGTCAAAGCATGGTAAATATTTTAGTACTGACCAACTTGGTACGAGTATAGTGTCACTTAGGTTATTACCTTTATAATACCCCGCTAATCATAATCAGTTACTCGTGGGATTCGATTCCATTAATCACTCACAAAAAACAACGGTGCAAGCCTTGTATTTGACGCCACTGTTACAACCGATCCACGTGAAGCAAAATTTCACCAAGAAATGGCGCCTTTTAATTCCTGCTTCCAAAATCAATTACTGAGAATGAAATTGTCAAACATCAGCAGAAATTGTTTTAATTCTGTTTTGATTGAGCGCTACCGTCAAAGAAAACAACTTATTTTATCGAGAGACATCAGGTCAGTAGCCGTCCCTCCGATGCGACAAACACCTGTTTGGAAAAAACAAGACCTCAAAATTTACCTCGGAAATTTCTCCCGCTACTCTTACTTAGAAAGTACTAGAAATTAAAGAGGAGATTGCGAGTGCTTTAAATGTATATTGTTTGATGTTCCATGATATCTATGATGTGTATGTTCTATTAGTCAAACAGGGAGAAGAAACTCAGGCTTCAAGATCTGAACTTGTTCATTACATGCAAACTTTGCAGTGGATATCTGATTAAACCGACGACGATCACGGAGTGTCTTCACACATGTAGGTACCCCGGGATAAACGAAACGCTTTTGTTTCAAACGGCAACAATTTGGTCGCGATAAAGAGAATATAAGCCCTGTCCATCGCTTCTGGGAGTTAAATAATCAACAAAAACCGGTATCAAGTTTTGATAACGCAAACATAAATGTGTCTCTTCTCTTAACTAAAGTGAAATACGGCAATTTCCATTTGTTGTGAAACTGTCGCCTTCTCAGCGCATTAAAAAACATCTGCCTGCGTTTGTTATGAACGACCATCAAACACTATTCATTTCTTTATTAGTTTAACTCATGGAGGTAAAACTTTTAAGAAGATCTTTTGAAGGCGACTGAACGGCATATTTTGCCTCTTTCGCCGTGTTTCGCCCAAATGCAGCATAAGGTGGTAGAAAACGCGAATTCTGGATTTCAGCATTGCTTTCGTTCGGACATTAAAAACCAATCCAAGCTAGTGATTTACGAGTGATTCTCCATTTCAAAGTCATAATTATTCATAAGATGGCACACTTTTGACGCTTTTAGATAATTTTATTAGATACAACAGTAGGGAGTGATAAGCCTAAATTATGATAACAATTGCGAAACTTATAACACGACCAGTAAGCAAACATCAAAGGCTTTCCTTCATAGAGAGAGGTTCGTGTACCTCGACCGTGGCCGTTCTGGTGAAGCAGCAGTCCGCGACAACGGCGAAATAAAAGCTTTTCCTTAGCTACAGCTGCTACTTAAGTCCGCAATTGTTCAAGTTTCGTTATTTATTCTGTGTCCTAGGAGATAATAAAGTACCCCTGAGGGAATATACATTACAATATTAACAGATTGCCAACGGCGAGCTGTTCGATAAGTGCTCCTAGATAAATCTGAATATGCGTGTTTTACGCGTCTACTGAACGAGTTTAAATTATTTGGCAAATAACGCAAATTATACACGAAATAAGCCGTGGTATACTTGAAAGGTCAGAGAATGGCAGGAACGATGACCTTATTGTAAACACGCTCTACTGAAACAAAGAGAGTGATTAGCTTTAGTCAGCTACACAGTCAAGTTTGTTTGTTTCTACGAATAATTACGTTTCTCTAGGCTTGAAAAAGAGATTAGTCCGGCTTACATTTGAGAAAATTAGTTTGAAACAGCAAAATTAGGAAAAATGCGAAGTTAATTTGGCTTATCCAAGAACTAAATGTGTTTATCTATATGAAGTCTTTTTTTTTGTCAATTCTTTTCACAAATATAATTTTCCTTAAGTAATACCTTAATCTAATCATGCGACAAACATTGTTGCTAGCTCAACGGTTGTGTAACGTGAAGTAAAGAAATTCTGACCGTTGTTCATCATTTTTTTGCATTCGTGATTCGTCATTTGCGCCCAATATATATCTCATCAAAAGCCGGATAGTTCTGCTCGGACACAGATAAGAACGGCGTGCACTTCATAATTGATTGTCTTGTCACTAAAAAGGCATAATTGCATGTGATATAAGATTCAGGGATTACATGCAAACCCAAGTAAACGGGTTGTACTCCTCGAAATTCTGAACCAGACGTTCAAAGGCAGTGACCAATCATTCATATAGAAAATTTTTAAAGGTTATCACCTACTCGGTGAGTCTTTGCGATTACGTGCACAGAATGCTTGGTTTTTAGCTTTATTTACAAAGAAAGGAGCGTCATGGATTTAACTTAATTCAGCTGTGTACATAGACCACAACAAGGATCATCTCACACTTTTCAAACAACGGTTTTTTAATGAATGAGAATGTGGTTTTTGTGTGCACTAGGACAAACTGCTGTCGGCTTCCTCATTCATGTCTATCGGTCTGGACAATGTGGATTACCTAAATCGATTATTGCCATACGAATTTGGATTCCGGCTTAAAATCATTAGAGATCTGCTTATTGTACAGTGAAATCCAATAAGTGATTTCTTCGCGAACTTGACATAGTTATGGTGATAAACTGACAGAAAAAACCGTCTGGTATTTGTGACCGCAGGAGATTTTGTCATGAGTGTGCGTAATGCGAGTTCGCGCGCCTGCCACGGCTATGGCAGGAAAATTGAGACGTCTTCATATACACTTCACAGCAACTATCGCTATGGGGAAAATACTAACGCACAGCGTAATGACCTTTATTGGGAAAAAAATTATAGACAGCTCCACGTCAACCGTGTCCACTTAAGGTAAGTAACAGAAAGTCCGGACACTCGTTCTTATAGGAACCTTAACCCTTTACACCGTAATACCAGTATGCATATTCTTCATACTGTTCATCATACATTTCCTAAGGTGCTGACAAGGAGAATTTGTCTAACAATCAAGAGCTTCTTTAGTTAATGATCATTTCCTTTATTCTCAGTGACCTTGATGTGTGATTCAGGGGAGATATAGCAGGGAGAAATTAGATGCTGGTCACTCTTAGGGGTGAAAGGGTTAAAGAAAGTCGAGGCAGAGATTTGCCAAAGCTTTTTCGAAAATTTTGCTCATGGAAGAAGTAACTAGAAATATACCTCAGACTGAGAGTTAGTTAAGTACGTTTAACTTCTCCGCTATTTTCAACGAACAGAGGCAGGAAAATTGTGAGATTGTACAGTTTACTCAAATATTTGGGGAAATGTTTATCTAACATTAATTATGGTGCACTAACCGTTTGAAGTTTATCTCACTTTGCAGTCGAACTCAACCTAAAAAGTTTCTTGGCCGCACAAACTTGTAACTTTAAGAACATTTTAAGGACGTTTTCAGACTTAAAACGCGAAAAAACGGTTGTGTCGCAACTCCAAATTTAAACGCGCTTGAAAAAAAGAAAGAGATTGTAAAAGAGCAATCGGTTCTGAAGGGACACGAAAACTAGTTGGGTCCAAGGAATGTTACGGTCGAACTATCGAGCTTTCGAGTTAAATTAGCGCAGGTGGATATAGTGCAAATTCAGAGGAAATTGATTTTGGTTCGAGTGAGTTTGGGTTTGAATTAACGGTATTCAAATGTATGTTCATGATGAAGACAGTGGGAGATTTTCTCAGTTGCCAGGAGCTCAATAAGTGATATCTTACATCATTATATCACTTGGTCTCGAGCTATGACACACTTTAGAGGAAAGACATCCGTTGACAAAAATTAAAAAGAAGGAAAAAGACGTTTTCTAACAGGAGGAAGTGATCAAAGAAGTATCTCGTTGACTGCAGCAAAGTAGGTGATGTTGGGTTCAAAATGAACAGTTGACCCTTTGACCCCTCAGAGTGACTAGCATCTAGTTAATCCTTATACAATATCAACCCTGGATCACATTAAGGCCACAAGAATAAAGTAAATGATCACCAAAGAAACTTTTGATTGGGAAACCAACTCTCCTTGTCAGTACCTTTGGTAATGTAAGGAGAGTATGCATACAGATGTTGGAATGTGAAGGATTGAGAGTTCTTAAGGGCGCCATTTCGGCCCTGATGGTCACAAAGACTTATCATGGCTCTGTGACATCTCAACTTTAAGGTTTATAGAAGTTTACCAACCATTGTTTCTCATCATTACACGAGAGGCTTAATTGTCTTATTTTTTTCTTCCACAGTCTGCAGATCATGCATTGTGAGATACTTACAAGATAGGGACGACAATAAATGCCCCAGTTGCTCGATTCTCATTCATGAAACAAATCCATTTGAAATGCTCAGGTATTTGAGGTCGTGTCTTGTGTGTTACCATGTAGTCTGATCTTCTTCCACGCAAATGTTATAGCTTTTGGTCAGAGAGGACCTGAAAATTGTGATCGTATATCGAAGATCAAACGATCCTTATGAACGCTGTGATAAAGAAAAGGGGGAAGACGGCGATAGATTCACTGTTTTAAGTAATAATGGTTCCCTTTAGAAGTTATGAGCGTATATTTCCGTCCATCCAAGAACGCAGTGTAAAATTTTGAGTTATACAATTTTGTTCTTGCGAAGGCACAAGACTGAGGTAGCGGTATATTATGCGATTAGCTCGAACGCGCAAAATTTCAGTTTTAAAGTCACCTTTGTTGCATCAGAGTAGACAATACCATCGACAATTCCTGCTTTTACATCTATTTTATCAAAGCAGGTGTACAGTAATACGTAAAGATCTAGAAAAGAGTATTTCCAGTCCTTACCGCGCGAGTAACATTGTTACTTGTGAGTTATATATACACGTCTCATCTCAGAAATTAAGTAGACGACTAGTAGTTCCACGCAAATGAAAACATGGCTACACAATCGGCGAACGATTTCGTGCTTTCCAGTTTCCAGGTGAAGTATGTTAGCTTAGCGATCGTTTGACAGCAATAAGATGTTAAAGATAAAGGCTTTCCCTATGTATTTTTGTTGACAGGTTGGATAAGACGCTGGAGGATGTAATTTACAAACTTCTTCCCGAGCTACAAGCTAGTAAGCCATGTAACGCTTTTGTGTAGGACTCTAATTTAGAACAAAAAAAACAAACAATATTTTAACGTAGAGAGGTTACCTGTTGGGTATCGCAATTTTACTTAGGGTCGCTGGATAAAGTTTACCCGAGCTCTTACCGGTTAGATTAAGAGCGCTCAAAGACCAACCTTCCCCCTATGCAGTCGAACGATTTTGACGCTTATGTTGACCAAAGGGTTGAAGTTTGTAATTGTGACTGTGGCATTGCAGTCGTCGTTTATATTCCAATGTTATGGGGAAATCCAGTTGAACAGTTTTTGAGAGCGGTTTCGAAAAATCCACCATATTTTTTCTTAACCTCAGGATTTTCATTCTCGGGGTGAGGCCTCAGTGTTGAGCCAGCCACCTTTACAAGAGATCTCCCTCGCGTAAACTTATAAATCTCAGTAGAATTTCTTGTCTTTTAATTCTTTAAGTTTTTTAACAAATTTGTGAATTTTGTTACTAGTAATTGTAATTTTATACAGCTTGCAGTTTTATATCACATTATACCCATTTTGTTGAGTAATATCAAATATTCTCAGAACTGATATTACATCTTCAGAGAGCGGTAAACCGACTGTTAACTCGCCTGAGGCCCGTTTCTTGAAGGTTCCGGTAATTTATCCGTCAAGCTGTTCTGTTTTAATTCGAGATGGAGGTTTCAAAAGTTTTCAAAATTATACAATAAGCCAATCAGTTAAAAGAAAACCAAAATGTTGTGGTTAGGACGCCGGAACCTGCTTCGCTATTCTTTAAATTTTGAATTTAAGATGTGGCTCAGTTCGGGACCGATAAATCACCGAATCTTTCGAGAGACGGGCCCCTGATCTGAAAATAACCACTCGAAGCCTTAAAGACCAAGCTCAGTTTAGTCCCAAATTCAAGCGTTGATAATAAGCTGCATGTAAGATTAGAGTCGACGGAAGAAAATGGTGGACAGTAGTGTGAGTAAGGTAACAAAAAATTGTAATTGGTTTCAGGCGAGGAAGAGAGAGAACAAGAATTTTACAGGCAACAAAATGTCGAGGAGAGAAAGAAAATAAAGGAAGAACACATAGAAAATGGAACGAATGGTAAACATTTTGTCAATTTGTAAATTTGTTTCTCAATCTTCACTTATTTTCTAAATTTCGGTTACGCCTACCGACCCTGAACAATAGGAGGTGGGGGGGAGGATTTCATTACCGACTGTTTATTCTCTGTGATAAGCTTCATTCGTGCGGGATACATTCTGTTAGCAAAGTACTTTGCATCTCATCCACGTTGCATTAAAATTCATGCCAAACTTTGTCTGACCAGATATTAATAACTCTTCCTTTTCCGTTGGAATTCTAATATCTAACATGTTAAATTGATAAAAAGTAAGACTCAGAGGGTTCACTTCCTTAACCAGGTTCGAAACTTTTCTCAGCTTCCGATTCAACAGATTACAAGCCTGCGAGTAAAAGAGTAAAACTCTCAGGAGATGAATACGACAGCGGAGCGAACTTCCATCGTGACGATCCTCAGATTGGAGTTTGTCTGGAATGTCTCTGGTAAGATCGAGATTTTTGCCAAACCCTCTTCCTCCCTGACCAATATTCCGATATGTTTTCTGAAGGAGAGTGCTGTTTTGAAGTTAAATAACTTTAAATCAGACTTTGGAGAGGCTCTTAAACGTGACTATGCAAACACTTGTCTACCCTCTCTGTGACCTTGGTCGCATTTGGCCACGCGCGAATACAATGCAATGGATTTTGTCAGCCAAGCGAACAAGTTGTAGAAGCAGCTCTTTTCCGCCAGAGGGAGGTGGATTGGTTTTTACTTAAAGTGTCAAACCCCGATTAGTCGAGTGGTGTACCCTGTTTGAAGAAGAAGGTCCTGAAAACCATACTTCGTCCAGCGCATGATGCGTTCTCAATCAGGCCAGATAAGAAAGAAAAAGATTCCGAATCCGGACATCTTGTGGTTAGCAATAAAGCAAGCCAGGAGGTTACTTTAGGATGGCTCTTGGGACAATATTTATATAAGTCAAAAGTGGGTTAAATTTGAATCAGGTATTTGATGCCGCAAAATACTGCTATGAATGTAACTATTGATCCACTTGTTTCATACAAGACATCCGGGTAAAGTGACTGAAAGATAACTCAATCTGTTTCAGTGACAACTCAGTTCAAGAGCAGCCGATAAAAGAGCTGGTACGAAAATACATCCGCTGTTCATCTAGACTGACAATAGCTCAGGTCAAGAAATTCCTCAAAGTGAAGCTTGATCTAAGAACCGCTGACCAAGTAAGACAACGGGGAATTGTGTTTGAATTAAATGTAGAAAATTCCTTTCAAGAGACAACAGATTTTATATGCACATATTCCGTCTAGAAAGGGCTCTTCATTCATTTTTTTGTGTAATTTCAGATCGAAGTGATGTGTAATGGAGAAATTATGGGCAAAGATCACACCTTGGAGTTTGTATACATGACTAGATGGAGAATAAAGGTGACAAAAACCTTTCTTAGAATTCTGGAGCTCGAAAGTTCTGTTGATTTAATTTTCGATTTGGGCTTTTTCTTAAAGTAGGAAACATTATTGTAAACATGAGATCATGGAACCAAAACAGAACACTTCCAAAAATCCCTAATGTCGCAGAATTAAAATATGAATTTCCATTCGGAATGTTACTGAAAAATCTGTCAAATCATGGGTGGCGTTTCATCTTTAGAACTAGGTAACGGTCTCAGACACTCTTCCAAACGTACTGCGAATGGGGCGTATCAGAGGTTGTGTTATTAGTAGAGTTGCAGTTTAATGGGATAGTTCTCGGTATTTTCCTCATCATATTTTAATTTTCTTTCCAAGGAGGGATCTGTCCTCACTCTCCAATACAGGCCAAGAATGGATTTTCTCTGAGTGCAATACCAGGATTCAGTTTCTGCAATATCAACAACAACAGCGACGTTAAGTCCAAAGCCTCATAGTTGTTCGAGCAAGTGACCTCTGCAGTAGACCATAGACGCCGAAAAAGTATAACAGAGCGTACTAAAATGACTTTGATACATTTTTATATATCAAGGTCAATTTAGTATTTTAAATCTTAAAAGATTTAAAGTACTGTAATTATCATTCAACTACAGAGTAAAAATGATATACTAAGTAGTTCCCAAGAACTTGATTAAGGTTTTATCTCTTGAATCAGGAGGACCTTATTTGATGAAAATGACCCGGTCAATAGGAGAAGTAAACTCTGTAAATGTCATGATTTACCCTCGTTTGTTGGTTGCCTTACTAAAGCGTACCTACAAAGACATCTGGCCACTCAACGAGACTTACAATTGCATTGAAATCTTTCACAATATTGACCAAAACCCGGTGGATTAAAATCCACATGCTCAAGTCAGTTAGTAGCAAATTGTGCACTACCACTGAAAAATAGTCTTTCTTAACGTAATATGAATGCAATAAGTTTAAAACTAGAACATGCATAGCACGTTGAAATAATCGTTCAACCAAAAGATAAATAAGTGATGCGAGTTTTTAATAAAGAAAGTCCACAAATGAAAACTGTTATTATTACCATTATGCTTAAGCTCTGTATTATTTCAGCCTAATGCGCAGGCTAAAATAGTCAGAGACTTAATAAACCTGACGCAAACGGTAAGCAAAGCTGAAGCACTGTACCAGCTGTTTCGATTGTTACCCGACGACAGGTACCATTCTTTTCAAATCTGGAGCTCCGCGCACCAACTTAACGACGAACACTGAGTTGGTTTTCCATACTCGATGTATAAACGTACCACGGAGACATATCTTCTTTAAATATCCATGGCTACTGATGTTTCCGCAAAAATAGAAAACATAATAACTAAAACTGCACGATGGTAAAAAAAATTTTAAGTCCTATTCTTAGCTTGTGACCTTTCAAGCATTCTTATTACGTTTTCTTGTCACGGAGTCATCACTACATCTTTCTCTAATCCTTGACTTTCCTTCCCTGAACACTTTATTTCCGTTACCCATCCATCTTCCTCTTTGCACCAGTGCAGTAAACTCCTGGTTGCATCACGTTTGGTTTATAAATTTTGAACCATCAAGTTCCATTAGACCAACGCATAAACAGCATCTTAACGCAAAACCTTACTATGCCCTTCACTCTAATTCAGCTCATTTGCCAAGATGACGCCGTCTTTTGAAAGATTCAGCAAAATTTCTTTAATTGTGCAAACACCGAAAGGCATCTGCTTCGAGTTTGAGTTTCAAGAACGAGTTTGATCCTCCCTCTCAATCAACGGTTTCTTGGCGCAAGGCTAAAAAACCAGTTTTCCAATTTACCTCTTTTGCTGCCAACGGAAGTAAAGCCACCAGCTGAACGGTTGACATCTTAACTTTGGGGTTGGGGAGTAGGGTGTGAAAGGGGAACTACGGATGATTTTTGTCTTTCCATTGCGCAGCACTCTTTTCTTCACCGAATACTAAAACAAAATGCGCTCCGTTTTGCTCGATGAAACGGGATCATTAGTAAACAAGGCTTTATCTCAGCCAGTTGTAGTCAATCTGTTTCTTAACTATTACCTTATGTCAATTTATCATTTATTATTATATATTAATTATGTGGAATATGATCATTTAGTTTTTTTCCTTAAACATTTCAAAAGGTTTTTTCCTTTAATTATTTAGCAATGTTCCTCTATGTGACAACTTTAAACAATTTTTTAAGGGGGCAAACTAGAGCTACGAACGATGGATATCTCTAACTATTTATCTAACAGATATCTAACCTGTATACTTTTATTACTTTAAAGATTTAACAGATTTTACTAAAAAATGCAAATCTTTCCTTTTTTTGTGTTCTATGACTTACAAAAATTTTGCTAAAATTTAAGAATATAAAGTTGTTTTAATAAAGTACTCGAGTTTTCAGCTATGCGTCGTTGTAACTGTCGGAATGATCTTCAAAATGTCATCCCCATTACCGTTTCCATGTGTCTCCCGTTCCTAAAATGTGTTTAACAATTTCAAATGTAAATGCAATCACTCCATTATCAACACCACCTGAGGTCATCAGGCAAAGGTATTTTATGAAACCATATTTGGATATTACTGTCATCGTTTGTGATAGAGTAAGTTGGAGCTTTAAGTAGGAGTTAAATAGAGAATTGAAACGCATTGCGCAGGGCGTATAAGCTAAAGATACTGAGAGAGGAAACAATTTCGAACAGTTAACATACTCTACTTTAAAAGTAATATTTAAAAATACTATATAAGGCTTTTCGTCATAAAGTACTATTTTCGCGTGTGTTTAAAAGAAATCTAATCTTGGTCTGTACTGAAGAATAAGGACGGATCCCTCCTAAAAAGAGAAAACATGTTAAATATCGTAAAATGATCACAAAACTGTGCAACTCTTCAAAGAAGTCAGGTAAAATTAACAATCATTACCACTTGAACTGATTAATTATTTAAGTGGGATGAAAAGTAGCCCATTCACTGTCATCCACAAAACTACAATTCTAAGTGACATTTAACTTTCATACTCGCTATAGGTTTCTTCATTTTTACCTTCCCCTCCGTGAACAAATGTAACCTTCACGAACAAAACTTATTTTTGCTAAATGAAGCAGACAAATTTAAGATTCAAGAACTGAAGAATATCGAAGACCCCATCGAAGACACCTTTTTTTCGGCGGAAACCGATAAATTTACGTTCTGTAATACTTCTTATTACTGCCTAAAATCTCTTGAATTCTTCAAAAGTGAACAGATATAGGTTTGAGAATTTCTATTACCTCTTAGGCTTATAATAAGAGAGGAAACTTCCAATTGTCTTTTAAACAGTTAAACAATGGCTTTAGAGGTGCACTATTTCTTTTTTTGTCATTTTAACCCTTTAACTCCTGTGACCAGGACAGAACTTCTCTTTACAATATCGATACAATATCAATCAGATAGGTGATGAGAATAAAGAAAAATACTGATAAGTTTGAGGGTTTTTCAGTTGATCCAGCACCAAATTCTCAGAACTAGCATCACAAGAATTGAATGGCAGACAGTGAGGAGAATTACTTTTGAGATTTTGGGCGTTAAAAGGTTAAAACGAGAGTCAGGTTGACTTGCCTTTACTCTCCACCTTGTCATGTACACAAACTCCAAGGTGTGATCTTTACCCATGATTTCCCCGTTACACATCACTTCGACCTGAAAAAAACATACTCCAATTAAACATGCTTTATTTTTCTTTTATGAATCATCAAAAATAAGTTTTACTAGTTTTTGGTGTTTTCAAAACTGGTTATAGGTTTCTGAGTCCGCCAAATTAGTTTCATAAATTCCGAAAACCTCTCAAATCAGTTATGAAAAATACAGGATCTTAATATGGCGTCATCAAAAGTAGCTACTAGGGTATCGCTAACCTGATCAGCAGTTTTGAGATTGAGCTTCATTTTTAAGAATTTCTTGACGTGCGCTATTGTCAGTCTTGATGAACAGCGGATGTATTTACGCACCAGTTTCTTTACGCACTGTTCTTCAGCAGAATCGTCGCTAAAACAAAACAAAACTTGTGAGCAAAGCTCTTCCTTGCCCGTGCCCGTTTTGACAATCAAACTTAACTGATTGTTACAAATAAAAACTAATCAGCCGTATCTTTTTCTTGATCGAATTATTTTAATTTAAAACCAGATATAGGTAAAATTCATTCAAAAAGGATACAACAATGACGTTAAAATCGACAGAGTGACGTAAGAAACATACCCGAGACATTCTAGGCAAACTCCGATCTGTGGGTCATCGCGGTGGAAGTTTTCATCGGTTCCTGATAGCTTTGTTCGCTTAGCCATAGGCTCTTCAGTTTCATGTACTAAGGAGGGGGAAACATTACAACATGTAACAATATAAGAGGTGAAAGTCCCTTCCCAATTTACAAACTTTTTTTCCAATAACCTTACCAAAAATAAATAACACTACGTAAGCTGTTCGTTCATTCATAAGTGTTTCTGATTAAAGGACTTGTTCCTGGTCGAGAAGTCCATCGGGTTTTCTGTCAAACCTGCCAGTTCGACGCAAATCACGGAGAGAGTTTTCTTTGATTTGGGTTGTTTTACGTTATCAGAAGTGGTCTAAAACTTACATGATTAGGAAAAATATTACCTTGAGATAGCTTCATATCTACAATTTCTTTTGCTTTTATTGCGGTACCATCATTATGCTGCGCACAAAACTGTCTTTCGCGTTTGCATTCACCTAAAAAAACAACGTAAAGGTTACTCTGGAAACTGAGATGTCAGTTTTGAATAATGTCAGTATTTGAGCGACTGCACACTTGCCCTCTCCCCCCCCCTCCCCCTCCCATACTAACCCAACGTCGATCCTGACTTAATATCAGTTGACTGTTGCTGGGTTAGTTGCTCAGATAATGAAATCGATACATTTCAAGTGATCCAGCCGTCAACATTCGAGTGGGCTTTTTTTTAAGGAAATGCCGCGAACACATTGAGACTTAGCTCTAGTCAGAAAAGCAATGCTCCACCGGAACTACGATTGTCTCTAATTTTAAGGAGGCAGTTCCCGGGCAAAAGTCATACTAAACTTCAGTATAGTTTGTGTCTTATAAATGGCTTCTGCATTTGCGGCGTAATCATCCAAGCCTGATGGATGTATTTCTCTTTAAAATTTTATGACAAGACGGTGTCCGCCACAGTTAGAGGAAGTTTTAAACTCAAGTTCGTTTAATCAAAAAACAAAAGCTTTGTTACAAGAACTCCGCAATTTGGAATATATCAACAAGTATTGACAGTGGTTAATGGTCATATCTTACTTTCTTGCAACTTAGGAATAAGCTTGTGAATAACATCCTCTAATGTTTTGTCTGACCTGTGGATTGTAAAAAAAAAAAGGCTGCTCTTCTCCTTTCATTTTCTTACTCACAATAGCGACCTTAAACAATCTGGGACAACTACGGCAGCGAAAACTTGGCAAAAAAAGGTGGGAAGTTTCACGTTCATGGCCTCTAACAGTCTAATAGATTTTTAAACTAATTCGAGTAGATTGTTCACTTTTGATTTTTACGCTAACAGTTGATTCGGGTGTCGTCCGTATCAATTGTCATACTAGTTTCTAATCTAATTGTTAAATGTAGACCGACAGCCTTGACCACTTTCAGGGTTTACCTTTCACGATAAAACTGAGGAGGTATCGATGACAATCTTCCGGGCTGGTGGAGGTCGATTATTTCTACTTGTGCGTTGTAATGTTAAACATTTTTCGTGGAAGCTCTTGCGTCGCAATAAATCACTCAAATAAAGGCGCACGTGAACACTGTACCAAGGAAATTTAAACCTCTTCCCCGCCAAGTTCGAGGTCCGCACAATGCTAAGTTACGGACCGGGATTTTTCCGTAAAGAAACTGGTGCGTAAATACATCCGCTGTTCATCAAGACTGACAATAGCAGACTGAAAAAAGGGTCTGTAACTCTAACTATGGACCGAGAAAACGAGATTAGTTAAACTGTCTCTGGACTCAAATAGAGGGGAAAGATTTTATTTCAAACAAACTTGGCCAATAATAGTGTACACACTAACTGAGAGATGATAAGGATATACCATTGAGTGTTACACTAAATACCTGAGCATTTCAAACGGATTCGTCTCATGAATGAGAATTGAGCAACTGGGGCATTTATTGTCGCCGCTATCTTGGAAGTACTTCACGATACACGATCTGCAGACTGTCAAAGATATAAAAGATTGAATAGTTAACATATATGTTTGGATTCTAATCTTGGGTGATTATTTCTTTTCTTAGGTTTCGTGGATCGTGGAAAAGTAGAAAAGGAAGAGTGGAGAAAACATAACTAAAAATAATAATTTGTACTGGTAATGTTAATGATAATTCTAAATTAGCGTTGTCCTGTTTTTAACAACTGTGCCCTTGAAGGCCTTAAAACTCTTAACTTGTCTTTATTCAAGAACACACCGGTAACTAATTTTTTCAAAGGGTGTTTTCATGCCACGACTTGGCGCTGATGATAATTCAGGTAGGCAGAAAAACCATCATTATTAACTTTAAATACCCTATTGAAATAGAAACTGATGAACGAGTCTGGGAGGAAAATTTTAGCTGCAACTCATTCAATGTAACAAAGTTTCTCTAACAAATAAATCCGGCTATGAAACGCAATGGAAAAAGGATCTATTAAAAAATTTCATTAATTTCGTTAACATATTCTGACATCTGTCAAAAAGGTCACGACCTACTTTTTTGGTTTCAGCAAATACAAGTGAAGATTAAAATTTGAATGATGCATTTCAGTGGAATGTCGATTATAGAAACTGAATTCCTTATTCAATGTTTCAGTATCATAGCGCTGCTGATCTGTTGGTATTGAAATGTGTATTGCCTCTGGCGTATTTCATAATATTTTCAGAATAATGCGTGTCATTTGATAAATTGAACGTTTTCATTCCACCTGCCAAGTGACTACGCAAAAGTTTTTCCATACATTAGGGTGCGCTCTCCCTCGATTTAAAACGCAATTTTTTAAATATTAGTTCAAATCGAGCTCTTATGCCTTGCATTTGCTAAGCGATAGATAATCCACTCCCAAATGTTGGTTTAAATTATGACTTATCACTCTTCGCTGTCTTCTCTAACGCAATTATCCTGAAAGCATTAACAGCAGGCCGTCTTATGAATAATTCTTTCTATCAAGTGGCCGTAGCATTTGCAAGTGGATGAATTTCAAACTCGCTTTAAACATCGCAAAAATTGATATTTCTTCCCGCCTTTTAAAGAGTGTTTACCTAAAAGGATAAGCCAGAAGTAAATAAAAATCTTTTTATGCGACAAAAACAAACTGTTGAACACTTCATCCTCGGAAGTTAAACTAACAATGAAAATGGTCGTCTGTGCCAAACTCAAGCAGATGTTTCCCTTCGGTTTCTACGATTGAATTGCAGTTTCGCAACACAGAGAGAATATAAAATGACAAGCTGGTATTAAAGACTTTTATGATATTTTTCGACCCATATTCGTGTTCAAATCTAGATACCGACTCGTATTTCTGCTTGTGAATAACCAGAGAAAAACAACGCAAGATGTATTTTTTAGATCGCGCCCAAATCTTCCATTTGAATATACAAATCATCGCCTAAACCCCGCGGTACCTACATGTGTGAAGACACTCCGTGATCGTCGTCGGCTTGATCAAATATCCATTGCAAAGTTCGCATGTAATGAACGTGTTCAGATCTTGAAGCTTGAGTTTTCTCTCCCTGTTCGACTGAGAAAAATTTATACCAAATTAATAATAGAATAACCGTCGACATCAAGAGACGCGTCAAAGGGCTTTAAACGAACAAGTCTATCGAATTTCCGAAGGAAAACTTTCACTGATATAGCCTCTGGTAAACAGGTGTTTTAAACACAAGCAAGCAACCACAGAGATCGATATAATATATTTTAACTTCATTGTCTTGTAATTCTTAACCTTATAATTAATACAGAAGCAGAAATTCAAAAGCTGTTTTCTCTCGAAAATATTTTCATGCACATCTTATTGTATTTTGAGTCTGAAACCAAACGAAACAGCTTCGAGTCCCCCTAAAAAGCAAATTATCATTTAATAACGGCGTGTTAACCTCACTTGAAGTTAACAATATAACTGATACCATAGACTTGTACTACGCTGGTGGCCAGTAGTAAAACATTTACCACAATTTAACGTAATTTGCTTGACGTAGATTTCAAACATCCGACTGAAATAAAAGGAAGTGTTTCACAATGACATGATTAGCCTTGAGAATTCATGAAACTAGAGAAAAAATTTCAAACAGGAGGGCAATGAACCGATGTCTTTCCTGTCATTGAAAGTGTGCTATACCTGAAGTTACGTTTCACACAAATTCCCGTTTTAGAACTGACGATTCAAGCAGACTAAAAGTCATGTCAACAAAACATCATTAGTCCAGTTATGCGAGGCTGTCGTTCAACTTATGACTTCTTTACATATGAGATGCAAATTTTCGACTTGAAATTGTACCCTTTACATTAACTAAACGGATTCATAACATACAGAATAGTAACAAGTACTAATTAAAAAAGATAACGTAAAAGAATCGACTCAATAGTGTCAATCCTTACCTGAAGAATAGCCATTTGAAAGAAGACTGCACACTATTCTTCCTCACAGCTCTGCAGTGTTGTTGCGGCGCACGTCAAAACGCGCGCATACGTCTTCTAGTCACGTGGTCGACAGTGTCGAGCAACGAAGATTCCCGTATAAGGAAACAAAGGAGCCAATATCAAAGCGGGAATTCCTTTCAGACTAAACAGCTGAACTGTCTAAATGATTTACGTTTGGAAATTAGTACACAAAAACTTGCCTGCAAATCAACTCACTTTGCGACTTGTTAAACAAATGAATTGAAGCCCTTTCAAGTTCCGGTCCTACGCTATTGGCGCAGCTTAAAATATCTAATGGCTTTAAATATTTAAATTAAGGATTACCTGTTTTGAAGAACAATATCTGAAGAAGAGCAGACGCATGATAATATATGCACGTATTTCCTGAATTTTTGTGAAGCGCTTGTATATGCTCATCTTAAAAACTTCGCAAATGTCACGAACGTTATAAAACATTTATAGATGCAACATATTTACAGTGGATAACTAATAAAAAGGAAAAAAAAGTGACTTTTTTAAGTGGTTAAAGGGAATCGCTCGAACAAAAATATCTTAGGAATATTGGTTCCTTTCATTATGATACAATACCAACTACAGGCTGCTGCGTTAAATTGGGCAGCTTTCCCACTGTAACTCATTTGTATTGCATGTTTCACATGTCACATGCCATCCAAAAAAGGTCTCATGAAGATAATTAAAAACCTAGAATTTTCTCCAATAATGATTGTTAAATGAAACGTCATATGTACACTAAATAAGCTAGACGAACCTGAGAAGATCCGGCTGATCACTGAAAATTTGATATTTTCCACCGTTCAGTTAAGGCTTGCATTAGTGATGAGTTTGTATGTATGTTAATTTAAAATGAAATTCGTAACATGATCAAGGTCAAGAAATAAATTTAGGCAGTAGAGTTTCAATCGAGCGGGAGGATTGGGAACTTTGAGGTGTGAAGTCGAGTTCATCATTTGCAAACGAAACCTTACTTGATATAGCAAATTGTCGTCCCATTAGTAACAATGAATGTGTCTTTTGATAGGTTCCTCTTCAAATTTCAATTGAATTTGTCTAATATTGTGTACTATGAAATCAAGCTTACTGAATTTACCTTACCTCATTTCTACATTCGGTCTCCGATAAAGCACGCTGTTTCAATCAATGAAAGTTTGATTAAAATTGAACCATTTCTAAAAATAAATATAAACTCCTTTAAATTCAATATTTTCCCAAGTATTGATATATAAAACTGTTCCCTGGAAAACGTGCCTGATGCTATTTCAGATCCCCTTGAGAGAAAACTTTCCGAGGGATGCAGCGCTCTTAGCGCTTCATTATCTCCTCCAGGGTGTAACTCCACAAATATACACGCCGTAGAGTCGCTCTAGAGCACAACTGCGTTTAGACTGATGTTTCTGATGTCTGTAATTCATGATCAGAGAGTAGAAAAATTACAAAAGTGAAAGTGTCAGACACAAACCGAATATAAATGAGTACGCGCCTGTTTTACTGCAACTTTCCATTAACCCTCTAACTATGAATGAAAATAAACCGTTAAATGAGTTTCAGGCAAGCTTTTTTGCTCCTTCATGCAGAATTAATTCATATGTTTCCAATCTTTTCTTCAGTAGATTATATGTTTTTTATTCGCATTGCATTGCATTACTTACCGAAGCAAAAATTTTTGACTCAACTTCGTAATCATTTATTTCCAAGGGGTCATAAATTGTAAGACATCGTTGATGAGCCAGTAGAGCAGGGATACTCGAACAAATAGCGGAGATCCCGAGCCCTCCAACAAGGTCTAACATTTCATTTAAAACTGAATTGTTCAATGTCGTCTTTATGTTATCCGTTTTATTACTTTCATTGTTATGTTGCCGGTACCGCGATTTTCTTCGAAATGTGGCCGGATAATTTTCGAGGCTAAAATCAGAGCTAAAATTACCCCAGGAAATTCTTGCGACTCTTTCAGTGATCACTACCGAGGCAATTCTTCAGTTTTGCGCATGAAAAATAGATGAATCTCGAAATATGATTAGACGCTTTAAAATAAAATTCGTAATAACATAGAATTAAAAAGACTTGCAACTGGAGCCGAGTAATTATCAAAATCCACGAACGGTCTTTCTTTTGAAGAGAAATTGAAAATTTTAAATGTTTTCAGAAGTTTTTGTTCAGGAGATTTGTTGAACACATAACTTTGTTACTACATCTTCTTTGTCAAATATCGTGATATTTACCGAAGCCAAGGTAAATATGCTTTATATTTGCCTTCAATACAGACGTTACGATAATTAAGCTGGCGAGAGCGGGGCAAATGATAGGCCATAATTTGGTTGCATGTTGTATCAGAAATTTTCTTCGTTCACAAATTGGACTCTCTGATAATCACCACCAATTAATTTTGATGGAACCTCAAACGTCACAAATTAACTCCAGCCAATTGCAAGACGAGAATTTAACTTACTTAGTACGCACCGCAGGAAACAAGAGACAATCTACAGAACACATTTATCAAAATCACTAGAAACTTTGAGTTCCCATGGAGCAGGAGGACCATTAAGACTAATTGTAATCAAGCATCTCTAATCAGTGAAATCTGTGCTTTTCCTCAGAATCTTATTTCGCTTGACAGCTATTTACTCTCACTAATGTAGGCTTTTACGGGTACAAGCCAATGTTTGCTGGGGAAAATGGAGTCAATAGCAGATAGCGGAAGTCTTCTCAGTTCTGAAGGGAAATCTTTTAAGAAATTCTCCATTGTTAAGGAATTTCGTTTTCACTTAATTAGCGAGTTACTTCCAAGACTTGTAAATAACGATTTAGACGCTGGTTATCCTTACAAGCACATTGCGACAATGAATTCACTCTTGAAATATTAATGAAAGTAACTAAATATTGTTGAATATTGCTGAAGTCATCTCTCTTTGTGAACCGAACGTCAATATAAAGTCAATATTGAGGTTCCCATTGCATTGTATGTCATTGAGTTAAGAAACTGGGGGCAAATGTTTTTTTCTACTGCGTTCAGACAGACAAGGAGCTATTCATAGTTTTGTTATTTTTCGTTTGCTATGATTGTGCCTAATCTGGCTCCCGAGTTTTCTTAATAATAACTAATCAACAAAACAACCAAGGTTTCCGAGACTCCCGCTTAGCGTGAATAATTACAGCATGAAAATGTTGATTGTCTACTTAGGGCGTTTTGCATTTTTGTAAGATTAGTGTACAACGACGATTATTTAACAATTTTAGAGAAGTGCTCTATTTTGAATTGATTTTGAAGTGGCGAGACTTCCAGGATACCGTCGCTTTAAAACTCGACGCGCGTCAATCCATTAGTAAAGAAGAAAAAGTACTTAATCGGTTAAAGACATAACAAAAAAGATACATGAAAAAATTAGATAAGTCATTTCCCAATGAAGCAAGATGGAAAAGCTTAAGTTCTTTATTAAAAATGTATAAGGCCAGGAGTAATAAGGGGTCACAAAACCACTAAAGACTTGTCATTTTCGATGAAAACTCTCGGAAGGAACATTTTAGTAGTAATTGGAACACCACGACCTTCGAAGGTTTTTGTTTTGCGCTTTGACGTGAAGTTTAACTCAGGATTTTAAAGAGGTTAACTTGCATGGCTTTGTGTTAACCTTAGTGTAAGGAAGTTCTCTTTTCAAGGTATCGAGCTAATTTCATTTGCGCAACCAACCTTCGAAGAGAAAAATTACGTCCGTGCGAGTCCACCCGCGTAGTCTTGATTGTCAGTTGCCGAAGTCATTGTCAAACAAACTAATAATGCAAGAGTCCAGCGCATCAGAATCCATACCAACTTCTGCAACACACCAAACTCGAGAGGAAAATAAGCCTCGCCGATCTCCTCCTCCTCTTGTGTCTATGGACGGAACTCGTAGGGACTCGCTTGTGGGGCTCCAAAGACTTGTTTACAGCTCGCAAATATTTACGCATTCACGAACATCGCACGAAGATCCCCGCCCTGTGGCGAACATTGGCGAGAACGTTGTGGAAGTCAAACCAGGTAATTTCTGCCTTTTCTGACTTTTAAAGGCCACTCAACGTTTAGCAGTAGTTAAAGTTATTTACTTCGTAGCCGAAGACACTTAAACGTATCATCAAAGACAAAAATGGAGTTACTTCCTTTCAGAAAAGAAGACAATTGTTATCACAGCACACTTGTTTAAAGAAATTCTAATACTTAATCAAAAAACAGAAGGAAAAAAAAAGATTTAGGAATAATCATCTTAAAAAAAAAATTGGAATTCTCTTACTCTTGTCTTTATTACCATTATTTATTGTGCTACTAAATCATTCATGATTTGTCGCAAAGTAATATTTTCACCCAGCATGAAATCATCATTAAGGTTTTAATCATTCTACAAGAGGTCTTCGCCGCGCGATATTCACTTGGCGACACATTTTCACGCGACAAAGCCATAGGATGATATCTTGCTATGGCGGTTTAAGGCATAAAAATGGAATTTGCGATCTTCATGATAACTCACGATAACACGAAAATTATAAACGCTGAGGTTTCTTTGGACTAAAAATATAATAAGAACTCAAACATGGCTTTCATTTCCTTCGTTTGTCAAATTTTGTCACCAAACCCGAAAGGGAAAGAAAGGTGATATTTGTAATAACTGAGTCAAATATGGACTCGTGTTTCTCTGTCGGTTTGATATCTAATGGCTGGCACATCGCGAATAAAGACAGGAAACATCGGTAATTATTCGTTTCATAGATAAAAAAATCTTCGAATTGAGAAAAAAGAATTTATTTCCTCTTTGGATATCTTAAAATTAAACCAGTGCATCCACGGTCAATATTCACCGAAGTTTTATGATTTTTTTTGGATACGATTCTAGAAACGAAGACGAAACACGCTCTCTCCTTTCTATTTTAAAACTTACTGTACGCAAAGAGAAGCTGAATGGTTCCGCACAAAGTTACCAAGAGGTTACCGTGAAAGAGGATGCATCGTAAATTATCTGAAAGGAAGACCTGCAACTCTCTAGTGTGCCAAAATTGGAAAAGTGGAGAAAAAATGCCAGACAAAATCCTAAAAACCGAATTAACAGATTGATGATAGCAACGATCTTTGAATTTATTCTTGCATAAAACGGAGAGAACATTTCTGAAATGAAAGAGTTTCTCGCTAAACTTCGCTGATGTGAAAGAGCTGCGGGAGCCTCGAAACTTTCCACCTTTCATAGAGATATTTGCTGTGAAAAACTAGGCGTTGCCACTGATATCACAGCGTTTGAGATAAGTCCAATCTTGTCAATCTTGTTAGGTCAGTTTGAGCTTATATCGCAAAGATCAATAACTATAACTTCGCCACCTCGATACTAAGTAGGTTTTGTAATATACTGAGTGATATTCTACAGAAGGAAATACAAATTGTCTTGATCCTGGGATCTTTTGAAATAAATGGTATTTGAAAAATACCCACAACAACTATTCGGCTCAAAATCCGATATATCGTGACCGCTCAACAATCCTCGCCCTTTCTAAGGCTTGTAATTTATTGCGATGACGCACAAGAGAGGGCACTTCGATTGCGTTTTGCAAAATCAATACCAAAGTAATCATGACGAATTTATCACAAGAATTAAGGCAAATATCGCCAGGAGCCAATAAGACGTTAGAGTAGCGACAAGTAAATTGCTAAAGCGCGGAAAAATGCGTGTGACCAAGCAGTGATTGGCTGTGTTGTTACATCTGATTAGTTGAGAGTGAGACGCAAGTTTTTCTTTTAGGACCAATCACAGTACGTGGTAAGGTAAATCCTATGCAATACCGTATACTTACGACATTCAATTTGAAATTGCTTTAACTGTTTTGAATGGTTATACTTTCAGGCCCAAGATCTGCTCATTCGCAGACTCGACCAAGTCTCCCCAGCCCAAAACCCAAGAGAAGCAGGACTTCGTTCACGCCGACGCAGTTAGAGCGACTAGAAGAGGAATTTTCAGTGGATATGTACGTGGTTGGTTTAAAACGAATGAAGCTGGCAAACGAGTTAAACCTGTCGGAAAGACAAGTTAAAGTCTGGTTCCAAAACAGGAGGATGAAGTACAAAAGGGAAAGAGCCAAGTCCAGATCAGACGGAGGAAAATTAAACTGAGCGGACTCAACTCTACGTTATTTATTGTATCAGATTCAGCAAATAATCATTGTGTAAATACCTAATATTCCATAAAATATACGGCGAGTGCATATACCTGAAGCGTGCAATTATAACGGATTGACTTTTATTGACATTTACCTCAAATTTTGCTGACATTCCTTGATTTATTACAAAAGAGAATTATGGGAAGCAATACTAAGTGGAAAGAAAGTCACATTAAATATTGTATCCCGTATATCAGCCGCTAGGTTTTTACAATAAGCACTTTTTACGAAAGTATAACTACGTTTTATCTATACTCACAGGACGAGCGAAGCTGGCCTAAAAAACGCGATGTAAATGGGCGCTTTTCTGCACACATTGCAGAAGTTATACATTATCATGCCACCGCCCCTGTACTCTTCCTGATGACGACCCACATGAGCACTAGTTGTTGAAAAACGAATCAAAAAATTAATCGCACAGCAGCCCGCACTTGATCAATGAATCATGTTGAGATACAAAAAAATCACAATGAAACAATAAAGCAAGGGATCACGCAAACCACTCGCTAGCTACATCGACCGCCCTTTGAGAGAAAACGAGAGCAAAAAATATCTCTCGTAAGAATTTGTTTCGTATTCTTAACAAGACAAACCACTTGAGAACGTCCGTCTCTATGTTACTAAGGATGCTCTGAGGCACACTTATGATTTGTATGCATAAAAATATATATTTGATTCAAATGGTTAAAAAATGTTGGGTTGCGCAGACACGATGGCTTAGCCAATCAGCACTGTTCATAGAAAATTATTCCAGTTTTAGTGCTTTCTACTAAAAATAGAAGCTAATTACAATAATCAACTAACTCTTCATTAAAAGTTTACCTTACATTACTTCCATGAAATAAGAATTATCATATAAACCCACATATCTCGTAAAAATGGTCACCCTGACCAAGCCTGAGTTTGCCAATTTGTAAAGCCTATTAAAAATTAAAAATTTAGGGTGCGTTCCTTTGGGAGGATCCGGATTAGGATTTGTTATCCAAGATCACACAGATCACGGTGCATCAAAAGAACGGAACTTTAGTTTATCTGATCAGTTACCATGAAAGCAGGGGCGAAATTGTAGAGCGCGTCAGCGGAATCGCGCGCTGAATTTAAAAACGAAAACAAGATGGCAGTCGCGTGTAGAGCAACTGTTGTTTCGTTAATGGAGAAACTTTCCGATGATTCAATATAACAAGGAGAGAAGTTGTGAAGATGTAGAATTTCTAGTGTTTCTTTTGATAAGGGAGAGGCAGGACCATGTCCCCATTGAGAATTATTTCGTACGTATTAAACTACTCTACAGTTTTTTAAGATTTTTAAAGTCATTTTCAGCTGTTTGAAACGCTTGTTAGCTACTTGTCCAGGTCTGCCTCTTACAAAGTAATGGGGGGAGACCTACCATTGACTTACAGAAGCAAGGGAAAAATTTCCGCACAGCCCCATACTTAATTATGCGAGCACATCTTATTGGTTATACACTGAATAATAAAGCCCCATATATAGATGCATAATGAAGTATGGGGCTGTGCGGAAATTTTGCCGAAGCAAGTAATGATTACAATATGGGTACTTGGGAACCCTAAATGCCTGCGATCAGTGGCCGATCGATTTAACATTAAAAAATCGATTGTATTTTGTGTTTATCGCAGAATTTGTGGAGCGATTACCAACAATCTTTCCGGTCAATATATGAGGTACCTACTTGTTTGAAATTGAGCACCGCTGGGCAAAATGATTACTTTCGGATCCGTTGCCCCATGGAACTTGTTGGATCAACGATCCAATGATCCGTCTTCAGATCGCGCAGATCAGTGATCCGATAAATCCTTGTCCAGAGTGGATCTGATCAATCACTGGTCTGAAAATGGATTTGCTCGAAAGGAACGCCATAGATCAGAAATCCTGATCCGGATTCTCCCAAAGGAACGCATCCTTAGTCCGGAAATTGTTTATCTATTTTTTTTTATTTTCAATTTTTTGTGGATTTCCCCCTTTTTTTTCTCCTTCTTTTATATATTTTTTAAGAGTTCTCTCTAAACTGTACCATTATTTCGTACATAAAAACTTTGTCTTTCCCCACTGATCCAAACCTTACGCTGGTTTGAATTTGAACAGTGATTGAAAGGATAAAAAGTGTCGCGATGACTTGGAAGCTGTATACGCGAACATGAATCTTTCTCTTATCTGACATTATTGTATCAAGCTAAGTGCAAAACTGGATCCCAAAGACTTTTGGAACAGCTTTAATATCAGTCTCCGAATCTGTTTGACAGCGAACTGCACTGGGACCAACCCCACATGGACACACATTAGTTCAAAACAACGGATAGAGCTTGTAGGGGTTGATGGAAAGCATCGCTTTGTCAAGTCCCTACAAAAGCGAAGAAAATATGGATGAACTTCAGTATCTGAGTATCTAAGCACCTACCCCTCCCCTAATCCAACAGCAGTCAATGATAACAAGTTAGGGTTAGTTTTGGGTTAGGGGATAGGTAGGTGCGTAGTTGCTCTGATATTGACATTGATCCGAAAATGTCAACATAGCAGATGCAATAACCTCTCTTTCTCAAAATGTAACCAACTTCGAATAAACGAGAAAACATCCAATTCGTTTCATATAACATGGACATTTGGTGGAAATCTTTGTCCCTGTCAAGGAAATTTTTCCTCGAAGAAACTGCTCAAATATAAGCTGGTTTGAATCAGTACGGTGATTTTAACGATAAAAACAGTTGAAGTGACTTGGAAATTAGAAATAGTGCACACCACCTCGTGTATCACAGACACAATACAGCAACAATGCTACTACAAAGCTGAGACACTGTTAACACAAAAAGGTGCGGAGCATTGCTGACTATCACCTCTGGTCACAATATTTTAGTGGTGTCCGGCCAATACAAGCAAAAGACTAAAACAACATTGGTACAAAAAATGTACACTACTTTAAACTCACTTGAAGTAAGTGCTCGACAAAATTCCAGTAGGAGAAGAGCCAACTCCAACTGGTAACGAGCAATTCACTGGAACAGGGTTCCCGTTGTTGTCTTGGAACCACAAACAATAAGTAAACAGGAAATCTCCGTCGCGGACAGCTACAAAATGGTGGCCTGAATAGGATAAGAAAACGATTCGCATGTACTTAACCGATCGAGGTAATACCTTGAAAGATGAGAGCGAACCAAATAATTTCATGAAAAAGAGCTTGCTTTATCTAAAAGAAGTATCTCTCGAGAGGACGCCAACAAAAACAAGCAAAAGGAGCCCCAGCCAGAACTCAATTCTGTTTTTATCGATGCGATCAAAAGCAAGGAAGTGATTTAATGGCACGTTTTCCAGTTGAAAAGTTCGTAGTCAGTCGCAAAAACGATACATCAGAGAAGATGTTGATGGTTTCATCAAAATACCGTTTGTTTGTCTGTTTGTTCGTTTGATCTGACATAATTGTATGCATTCTCAACCCTTCAACTCTCAGAACAGAGTAACATGTAATTTTTCCCAAGAACATTCATACATTATCCAGCAAATCCGGCAGAAGTTGTTATCTTGATCTAACAATAAATTCTTGTCACTAATTAATGCCGAAACATGTAGAAGCTAGAAGGGAGAATTTACAATCAGAACTTGGGAGTTAAAGAGTTAACACCTGAAATCTAATTCGCCTAGGTAATGATTACAATTTTTTTGTCGGCTGGTGGCGAGAATTCGGCTGTACTAAAATAACGTACACAATAGGAATATGTTCAGAAATGGTGCGTAGTACATTTTTTGCGAGGGCAATGGGCAAGATAGAATGCACGAAGTGGGAAAACTGACAGAAAACACTCAAAACCTTTGGCTCGCTTTTTTAAAGAAATAAAACAATTGAAATGCGCATTGAGAGCAGTGCACACCTTTTTGAGGCGGCTTAAGCCGATACGTCATTCCTTTGTGAAATAATTTTATGGGAGTTCACAACTATTAATGTTAAACAATTAATATTTTTCTCTTGCTTTTTCTTACCGCGTTGTAAGTAGGATTGTATATACGTCCACATATCCCAAATTTTCTGTTTAATAACATAGCTCGGGTTGCGAGGGTCCCGGACCTTGGTGGATATTGTGTTGATGGTAGGCGCGGTTACTTGGTCAACACAGCGGTCCACATGAATGAAATGCACGAGACCTGGAAACTCTTCAAGGTGGCGGGAAATCGTCAAGGAAACTAAGGCAGAAATTTTTTACCCAAAGGGATCTGAGGTGAAAAATAGTCTTAAGGACCTTCTTATGAAAAAATTACTGACCACATGAAAGGTTAGAAGCTTGCAGACCAAACGAAAGGAATCTTGATTGAGCATTACTCGAGGTTGCAAAAGGATACGCAGTCATCGTCATATTCCTACGTCCTTTGACGAGCAGATAATCTTCGTAGTCTGCCAGCCTTGTTTGAAGCAGCTCTTTGATTTGTGAGATGGTTGCTAAGAGCTGCTGACTAATAGAAGGCTCTCCCTGACTGGTACAGAATAAAACACTAAAGAGGGACTTTAGACAGCGAGCCATTTCCGCTACCGATGCTTCCAGCTGCGGAGACATCTCAACACCCGTTGGTGCAGCGAGGAAGCCTAGTAAATCACCTCTTTTTACCAACTCCCATCGATGGCGCAGGGTTCGAACCTGATTCTCAACAGCCACCTGAAGTAAACAGTTTTTACAATTTTACAATTTTGCAGTTTGCTTGCAAGGCCTGAACTTCAGCAGCTGAGATCTTACAAAAATCGGCAAAATACCTGATCAATCACTTTACAACGAACAGCGTTACAATCCAAAACAGAAAACCAGACAGGCTAAAATAGGGCTTTGTAAGTAGGTTGGGTCATTTTGCACTTCCAGCTTTTTTCTTCACCTTAAGACTGCTTTCAACTCCGATTCTTAAGATCTTGAAGAAACTTCTCACTCACTTGAGACAACGCACACATCCGAAGAATCTATGTCATAAATCTACTGCACAGCTACACACTTCACTTCCTGTAAGGCATTTCACGTAAGGCGCGCGAAAGTTCATAACTGTGACTCATCCCCCAACTTTTTGCCAGAGGCTAGCTACGCCTCCTTTCTGTCTAAACATACAAGAAAAATTGGTGTTGTACTGGGATTGCACGCCCCAGCTGATAATTTGGTGCACCCTCATCACCTCTGACAGAGAGTGTGTTCGTTAAATTAGGGAAAAATGCACAATACAAAATACACCTACCCCCACAGGAGTCCTCATGGATTCAAGAACTCTTTTCACACTTGTTTCTAGTTTCTCCATGATGGCCTGAGCCTGTGGTACCGTCCGCTGGCCCTGCTTGGCAGACGGCTTGACACTAGCCAAAGATTCTAACGCTTGGTAAATGAACGTGGCTACATTGCAATGTTTTGTCTTGAAAAAAACAAGAGAAAAGGAAACTTAAAAATTGGTTGGCTGCAAAAAAATTGCCTTTGCTAGTGCACGTTAAAACTTACACGTGAATCAAACACTGACGTTACAAGAATGAAGGAAATAATCACCAGCTAAAGAAGCTCTTGATTATTAAAAAAATTCTCATATCAGCACATCAGGAAATGTATAGAAAAAAGCATCGGGAATGCGTATTGTGATTTTAGGGTGTAAAGGGTTAAAAGTTGTTTAGTTTCTTACTTCACTGACAAGAACCAAAACTGTCCCTGTGGCAAGGCGAACAAAGTGAAGGACATGAGGTAAATATGGACACCTATCAGAGCTTAAGAAGACTGGTTGGGGATCATGTCTTCTGTCCATATTCTGTATACCACTGGCTGTTTCAAGTTCTTCCTCGTCAGTTTCTTCTCCTTCTTCATCATCCATCTTTACAAGAAACAACATGTTTTTCTTTTAATTTGCATCAAGCACATGTTCTTTCAAATGACCAACTCTATAGCCTGCACTGATCTCTTGCCCAGTGATGGGAGTCTAAAAAAGATCTCTGCCATCATCCTCTTACCCACTTTGTCTTGCACAGGATACCAAGCCCAAAGAATCACAAGCTAATCATGTATGTTACACCAAGTAAATGCAAAGGAAGAGAACACATATTTAGCTATTAAATGAGCCAGGCTATAATCTGTTTTAATGCACTATTCACCTCAAATGCAACCTCATAGGAGGGTTTAGGGCAATCCATTTGATTTATAATCTATTGCACAGTTACAACTGCACATTATTCAGAACTATATGTATATACCTGGATATTGAAGGTAAAAATGAAAATAAAAATACAAAACTGACTGGCCAAGAAATGTAGAAACATAACGTATGTAATACAGATAGAGAATGTAGGTTTAAAAACCTTTTGAGAAAAAAAGAGGTCAGTTCAATAGCTTAGGGGTGGCCTGAAGGGCAGATTTTGTTGCATCACACTTTGTATAATTAGAATAATTCCTCATTCCATTTGAGAATTGGTAAATATGTGCAACATTCTTCTCTCAATACTTAATACTTAAAACTGCAGAAATAATAACTAACACATAAGAATTTCAAGAAAATTTTAAATAGCAATGAAGCTAGATAATTATGATACCTTTCTCTTGAGGTAATCAGGAGTGTCTGCCCTCGGTGTGAAGAAATGCTCTTTCAATGTTAGTGGATTCTTTGGTGTAAGCTCCTGAGCAGTAGCCTCCCTGCCTTCACTAGGTATCGGTGATGATCGAGGGGAATAAAACAATTCATCTTCAACAGAAGATCCTGCATAAGCAGTGTCCTCAGGTTCAGCCTTCCTTTGCGGTGCTCTTATATCAACAGGATCAGAGTGCACACGTCCAACTTTTGGATGCCGTTCTTGTTCAGCACAGCCCTCATTTGTAGAAGGGCTGCTTAGAATGTGGTGTGATATTGAAGGTCCACCTTTGCAAAGTACCTGGTGTGCTAATGGAGGTGGGGTTCTATTTAGCGTTATGGGTACAGCTTGTTTAGAGTGTGGAAAGATGTTATATAGTAGAACAGTTATCAAGAGAAGATCTGCAGACTTGAGTTCTGAGGCATTTGGACTGAAATCACAAAAAAAAAACAATCAAAACTGTAGTTTTTTAGAGTTTGCTAAATATGTGCTTGGTAAGTTGAAAATACTAGAGGCTTTCCATAAGATGGAACACAACTTAAATGTAACTAAGCAGTTTTCCATGTTTACAACAGATACTGCAAGGCTCTCAAGTAAAACCAATGAGAAGTGTCACATGACTTACAAATTTAATTTTTCTAGGTAGGGAGAGATCAAATTGCAATGGCCTCTTTGTAATTCTTCCTTAACAGGTACAAAAGGTCTTAAAAGTGTGCATCATCACATCCTGTGAACATATCGTGTCTTACCTGGAATAGAGTGCAAGTAGCTTTGTATTCACCATAATCAATGAATGCACTACATTCTCGCCACCTCTAGTCCTTGCCAAATTTAGTGCTTCTTCTAATAAACTTATAGCCATTCCACCCAGGTTCTGGTTGACATGTAAGCGTTCCACAGCCTCAACCAAGAAGCTTTGTTGTTGTGTGGACAAAAACCCAAATGTGTCAATCAAACTTCCCAAGGTTTTCCAAGCCTTTTTCTGTGCTGATAAAATTTCTGGTTTTAATAATTCAAGAGAAGCTCCATAGTGTAAAGTAGCCAACCTGTACACCACTGATAATTTCCTTTTCAAGAATTCTTCAGACTCTTCACCATCACCATTGACAGCTGTGAAAACCAGGTCATCAAACTAAAGAGGTTTAATTTCAAAGATATGAAATCATGTACTGTAAATAAAGCATGCAAGGTTAAATCTTCACAATTACATGTTGTTCTTGAATCATCCTCTTATGCTGGGAGGGCATGACTAGAAATTGACAGTGAAATATCTTGAAACAAAAATCTTAAACAAATATAGCTGCTGCACATGTATATTCAAACAACATCAACAGATAGAGGGCAAAACAGTTGACACCTTTCATAATTTTAGTCCTAAAGTTGAATTCAATACCAGGAACAAAGGTTACAGGCAACAAAGTTCTAGGTTAAACTTGAGAACCCAATAAAAACTCAACTTGTCTGCCTTCATTTTGTTAATTGATTGTCTGAAGTCCCTGACAGAATAGTTACTATCTGCCCCAATAAATCACATTTAAGGATCGATAAAAGTTGCAAACTGTATCACAATTTTAATTTATATTTATCAATAACTTTCATTAGTCCTCAGTTCAAGATTGTTAGTTTTAGAGGTTTGTTATTGATACAACAGCATTGCAGACTAACAGGTAATATAGTTAAAAAATTTGCCATAGGAAAGTAACACTTAATCAGAACACTCATCAAAATATGAACTGTTCCAAAGCAAAATGACAACTTTGCATAACCTAGCGTAAACATGAGCATCTAAGAATTGCCCACCTTTGAGTTGTTCATGGGAAAAAAAAAAAAAAGAAGAAAGACATAAGTTACACTTGATCAGCACTTTAACTCATGATATACCAACCAAATATAGGAAATATAGCAAGATTCCTTGCTTGAAGTAAATACATACCTGATTGAAAACGAACAAAGTGCCATCTTCACACAGAATAGAAGAATATGGATTTCCCAGATCATTCATGTAAGTTAGTGAAGTGATCATTGGAGAAAAGATTTGTGATAAGGCAGTCATGTCCATCTCATCTTCATTGTGATAATCACTGATGAAGCCAGAATTACGAGAAAGTTTGTTGACATGCTTGATAAAAGCTTTATCAGCATGGACAAAAAGAATATCTGGTAGGGAGTTTATGATGAGTACACACTTCATTGGTCTGATTCACCCTCCAGGAATTAAGTTGATATGCACACTACTAAATAGCTGAAGTTTATTTTCAAAGGTCAACAGCATAAATCTACACTCCTTCGTGTTTCCACCTGAAATCAATTTAAAACATTGTTGTCAGTTCTATAAATGTGCCTTACAACAAGAACATTTGTAAACTGTTGACAAGTTCAGCCAAAAAAGTTTTCATTAGTTAAATACATTGAGTGGAGTTCTATGACTTCCCGTACAATACACTAGTCAAGTCTAAAAATTCTAAACAGACAAAAAACATAGACTACTAGTGCTTCATGCCATAATGGAAACTGTCATAGATCGAGAACACGTTTTGTAAAGGGAAGCCTATCCAAGGTTATCCTTGATAACCCTAACTCTAATTCTAATGTTAAGACATCATTGGCAGGAAATTTGTTCTAGAGAGCTGTATGCATTACAAAGCCTGTAGCTAGCTGGAAACTTAAACAAAAACATGAAAACAGTATGACAAAAACACAGCCTGTCACATGGAGCGAGAAAATCAAGCCACTGATGGATTATAGTGAAACTTTCAATCATGATAATTACATTTTTTTTTAACTAATGACCTTTCAGCAATGGCAGATATAAACTAGCATTGCCTCAACAAGTCAAAGAACAAACTTTGTCATGACAATTGTTTGTCTCATCTGGTGCATCTGCATAAAAAATTTCAAAGCTGTCAAATTCTGTAGACAGCCAGCACTAGTAATGGAACTTATGTTCACTGCTTAGTTCTCTATGTGCAAATAAGAGGCATGTGGTAAAAATGCAATATACATTTTAACAGTAACAATGCCATCAAAAGCAAGACAATTGTAGTGGCTGCAAAAGTAAAATAAAGATTCTGTTCTGAAACATTTTTTTCTGGAACTATCTTTTCAATTGATGACAGGAAAAAACAATTCCCTTTCTTTGTTTAGTTTACTGAATAGAGGATAATTTTGCTTCTACCTGAAGAATAAGGCAATTTTCTTATTAACCCTTTACCTCCCAGATCAAATTTGTAATTCTTCTTACTGTCAACTACACAATTCTTATGTTAGTCCAAAGAATTTAGTATAGGATCAACTAATTATCCCCGAATTGATATTTTTCTTTATTCTCATCACTCATCTGGTTGATATTATATTGATATTGTAAGGAGAAATTCTGTCTTGGTCACTCATGGGAGTTAAAGGGTTAAAATGTATAAGAACCAGTTTCAGCAGGGTATGCTTTTCAAAAAACAAATTTGAAGCAAGACTTTCCTATTACCCTGTACTTCATTATACGTACAGTATCTAGATAAAAAAAAAGAAAAAGAAGGCAAAAAAATTGATCGTCTAGGGGCTTTGGTTAAGAACTTTGTTTACAAAGTTTTGGGTTATGTCAAGGAACCATTAGAATAGTAAGAGGTTGTGCAGAAATATTTTCAAATTTACTGTCGCTTAAGGGTTGCCTAATTAAAAGTGCTAACGCACTGAAGACTCAGTCTAACCTTTGAACAGACTTATAGGGAGAAATGTATGACGATCAAACAGCAAATTCACACAAATTTAAGAGCTCTGAGGCAAATTAGACTAACCAAAACATCATCACTCATTTGAGATAAAAGCCCAAAATTTTGGACAAAAAAATTAAAAAAAAAAATTTTCTTCCTCTCTAATAAAATACCTTAATGCATAGAAAATGAGCCATACTCCTTCCAATTCCTTCCATTGATCAATCCGCCGCACCGCCATGTTTTATCACGAGCGCTCTTCTGAAGAGACTGGAAACGATAGTCACATGTGTTATTGGTCTTGTGACCAGCACGAGAACGGGTTTTGACAACAAAAACCGAAAAACGCCGCAAATAGTTGCATAATCTACCCTGCTATCGATACGGCAGTTCTTCTAGTAAGTATGAAGTCTCTTTTGCTGTGTTTAACCTTGTTGGGAATTACATGTGCTTTCAGATTTCCCACTCGCAAAGACGGCAAAGGTTGTTATCAGCCAAGTTTTGACAAAGGCATCAAGGAAGTTGTGTGAGTAAATAATTTCTGGTGTGTTCTGCTTTCCAGATTTCCTTCAGTTTCTTTGGTAAGAGGCGTACCTTTTCTGAAAGAAACAGATCAAACTGTATAACTTGAAGTGTGAGCGTGTTTTTTTCTGCGCAGGGACTTGTCATGTTATAGCGTGTCTTCAACTCTGAAATGACCAACAGTTATCGGAGCTATAAATTTTAAACTGAGATCAGACTTAGCTGAAGCTGTTTAGCCAAATCGAGATAGAAATCGAAAATGATGAATACGATAAGTTACCGTTTTAAAGAGCGAAATGTTTTTTCAACGAGATTCCTCTCAAACGTCGAAAATGCCTTCTGAAGATGATTTTCGCTGAATCATTGGCGAGATATGACGTCAAACAATGTTTTGTCAGTAAATGCCCGTTGGTAAGATAACGGCGTAATATGGCCCCTTAAAAGAAATCGGGCTTGTACAGGATTTAGCGAGATTTCCCTATTTCAATGATATTCTAAAACAGAGCCTCAGTTTGGCAAAATTTCCGCGCAGCCCCATACGTCATTATGCATACATATACGGGGCTTTATTATTCAGTGTATCACTAATTAGATGTGCATGCATAAGGAAGTATGGGCTGTGCGGAAATTTTTCCCTCAGTTCTAAAGGAATCTTAGTGTTTTTGCCATTGTTTGCTTTCATTAAAGAACTGTACATAATGTAATATGTGGTTATGCAAAGACCTAGTAAAAGATGTCATCTGCATGCTGCTTTAACTCATGCATTAATGCTGTACAACCTATCTTCAATTTTAAACAGGAAAACTCCACGGCCCCATGAGTACCTGAGTACAGGATCAATTCCCAAACAGTGGGATTGGAGAGATGTTCCTGGAAAAGGTAACTTTGCCAGTGTTACACGTAATCAACACATCCCTCAGTACTGTGGCTCCTGTTGGGCTCAGGGAACAACTAGTGCAATGTCAGATAGAATCAACATCATGCGCAAGGGGAAATGGCCTAGCAACCTCCTGTCAGTTCAGAATGTCCTGGACTGTGGTAAGAAAATTTTGATTGTTATCTCAAATATCTTAAACTTCTTGTATATTGAACTCTTCATTTTAATCAATATTCGCAATTGAGAGAAAAACTGTTCAAAATTGGAAACACCATGAAATGAAAAAATTTGTTTACTTAAAATCAAAACAATGGTAAACACCATGACACATAGGAAAAATGGTCATACCACAC